GGGGGCTCAATTCAGCCTTTTTACCAAGGGACTCAATTAAAGGGTTTTATGTCTAATTAACTTGAAGGTCCATTTGTCTTGGAGCAGTGGGAAACAAGGTCAACAGTTTGCTTTGCTGAAATGGTCAAGGGACCATATTAGAAGTGAAAACAACTTAATGACCTGTTAATAACATGTTTATCGTAGTTGAGTTGCATCATTTGGTGATTGTTCAACATAGCAACATTCTGTCTTTTCCTACACAGAGTGACCTTTGACCTGCACAGTTAAATAATAATGCAAATAAATATCAAGTTAATTATTAGGAAAAAAAAGATAATGGTCATTCTTACATAAGCATACATTTATTTATTCTGCAAAAAAAAAAATGTATAAACTAACAAATAATTGAACAAAGAAATAAAAATGGCCAAAACATTGGACCTGGAAGTGCTATTTTATGCAGTTTTACACAGTTTTCAAAAGTATTCATAAATAAACTAAATTTCTATGTGCATTTTTTTGCCACCGGGAAAAGACCTTGGGAGAAACGCAAAACTCAATGAACTCATAATTGAAATGACTATCTACTTGATTCAATCTTCCTCGATATGGCAGCTCTGTGGACAAAGCCATCAAGTGCCCTAAGGCCCCGTTTACACTTATGAATACGCCATCCATCCACATGACGCCGGAGTTTTCGAGCACCGAAAACGGAGCGTTTTGGAATCGCTGAAGAGGCCGTTTTCATTCTAAAATGCTGCTGCTCCGTCTCAGTGTGGATGGGGAAAACGGAGACATCTGAAAACGGAGGCGGGGCTGCAGACATTCGCCTCTCTGATTGGGGCTTTTCCTGAATATTAAGTATTAACGTTACACACAGTTCAGTCTCGCATCCTCTCCTTGTAAGTTCAGACTTCGCTAGTTTGATATGGAAACAAACTCACGAGGACATGTCAGGTAAATCTTCAAAGGGAACAGTATTCTTTATAACCGTATTCACTTCATCCTGGCTACGTTGTTTCATTCATTCCTTCATTTTCTTGTCAGCTTAGTCCCTTTATTTATTTGGGGCGCCACAACGGAATGAACCACTAACTTATCCAGCAAGTTTTTACGCAGCGGATGCCACACACTCATACACTACGGACAATTTAGCCTACCCAATTCACCTGTACCACATGTCTTTGGACTGTGGGGGAAACCGGAGCACCCAGAGGAAACCCACGCGAAGGCAGAGAGAACATGCAAACTCCACACAGAAACGCCAACTGAGCCGAGGTTCGAACCAGCGACCTTCTTGCTGTGACGACAACAGCACTACCTACTGCGCCACTGCCTCACCTGCTACGTTGTTTCACTATATCTTGATAATAAAATGAAAACATGATATAAGGAACTGCTATTTTCATTTTGATATTAACAACTTAACAGACAGCAGAAATGTTGAGGCGTTGTGCTGCATATATGAGCGTCATCTTCACTGCATGCGTATTCATAACAAAACGGAGCCTAAAACATTACTGCCTCCTTTCATTTTCAGTAAAAACAGGAAACATACCATCTCTTTTGCTGAATATCAGTTTTAATAATCAATAATGGCCATTATAAAAGTATAACGTACAATGAGTTTATACATTATATACAGGAAATAAAAGCCATAGATGTATACACTAGATGTCGCCTGGCCTATTGTTGTCTATTGGACGGAATGCGTCAATAGCGCCGCCATCTTGCTACAGGGTAGCGCTCCTTTGAAATGAATGCGGGACCAAGGAACAGTGGAGGACTGTGGCCATGCAAAGCCAGAGATATACACATAAACACATATATCTGTGATCGGGAGTTTTCCTGGATGTTAGTATGTAATTTTTTTTTCTAATTACGAAAATTATAATTTTACATCACTTTTCTACATTGATGGATCAGTGACCGCACGGGCATTCCTGACAAAAAGCTTGTGTTTGTGTGTACAGAAATGTACTATTCACCCTCCCTGTTAAATTTAATCTAATCATGTCCTGAAACGCACCTCCTCTCCTGCTCTCACTTCTCATACTGACGGAGAGAGCGATTCGTTTGTGAATGAATCACCCGAACGATAAACGTTACCTGATTAGCACAAAAGTTCAGAACATACAAAAACAGAAAAAAACATAATATTACCTATGAAATGTTCTGCCTTTGTGCTTTGTTTTCTTTGTTTGCTCGTTACTACACCCGTAGACATCGCTAAAGTCCCGCATCTTCACGTGACAACACTGTCTTGATTAGTGCGGTTGAATGACATTTGTCCTGGGAGCACTGTACCAATGTGGCGGCGCTATTGACGCATGCTCAGGGTCCCTATGCGATATCTAGTGTATATATCTATTGTATATATCTATGAATAAAAGCTAATAATCAGGCAATATACAGAATGTACGTGGTTCCATTGATTATTAACTTATCTTTGCGTTCAGCCAAAGCACGTTACCTGTGAACAAGTAATAGATTCAAAAGACCAAAATCGGGGAATATATTGTTAGATATAGACAACAAGATGAATTAAATATCACGTTTAACAAGTATAGTGAGAATAGATACAGCGGCAGATCCTTTATGAACACTCCAAGCACAGCTCTCATCTGGGTAGATAGGCTGCAGCGCATGCCAGAGTGTGTGTGTGTGTTCACGTGATGTGCGTTTTCAGTGTTTTGGTGTGGACGGAGAGCTGTTCAGAAACGCTGGGTGAAACACTAGTGTGGACGCGGACCGTTTTCATTCTAAAACGCCGTTTTAAAACTAAAACGCACTAGTGTAAACTGGGCCTAAATTAAGCCTCTTCTTGTACAAATCAGGACAGAAGTCCTGCTATACTTTGAACACTGACACCATATGGCACCTTTGGAACATAACCTGTTCCAGGGCCTAATTTTTAAAATGTTGTTCAGAAGCCATTATAAATTTGTAAATTATTCTAAATTAAGATAATTTCATAAGTGGATAAGGGTGATTCAGATTCATGATGTGTTTATCAATGATTTGCACATCCAACTCTTCAAGTTAGATTTCTGAAGCCTTGGGCTCCGGCTTTAGGGTGAGAGACACAGAAAGCAGAATGAGGCTTGGAAGGCAGAATAGGATTTTTTTTAAACACAAAGAGAGAGTATAAGATTTAGCAGGCAAAGCAGAGAAAGGGTGAAGATAGTTTCTAATTCTGCAACAAAATCCATTTCCAAAACCCTTAATCATGATATCAGAAGAAGTGCTATATCTGTGAGGCATGCAAAGCTGTCTGCCATCCTCAAAAAATGTCCAGCAAGAGCAGAACAGAGCACTATATGGGGAGACATTCACATTGTACATAATCAGTTCACAGTAGCAGACCTTTCTGTCATTTTTTTTAGTGCTGTGTTATTTCTTTTCAGACTCCAATGACCAACCAATGTTGAACAGCCGCTGTTCAGTGCCAACCGTTTTGCTATTTTGTGTAACACAAGATATTACACCATTTTATGGAAAACCCCAAATCAGAAAAAGTTAGGACAGTATGAATATTGCAAATAAAAAAATAAAGTAGTGATTTCTAAATTAACTTTGACTTGTATTTCACTGTATACAATATGACAAACAATATTTAAAATGTTCCTCATGATTTTTATCACATGATGTGATGTGATTTTTATCACATCATTCTCACTGCGTGAGACCAATCGAGGATCAAAACATGACCTCTCTGGACAGAAATTTAAAACATGGAGCTATCGCTCACTTTTTTTAATGTCTAATAATCTTGTGCACACACAAACTCCAGTGTGACCGCAGCTTTATTTGTATGTAAATGTTCCTGTTTACTGGCTTGTTGGCTGATTGTGATGATTGACTGCAGGTGTGACGTGTAGAGCTGTTTCACTATTTCTTAAGAGCTCCCATTTGTAATGCTTTACCTGATGAAGACCATGTCGGTCAAAACATTGTGACATTAAAGACTTTTTGAGAGCTAAAGTAGCAGTGTGCAGATTTTCTGGATCTTTTGCTACAAATGTTTTTGATCGAGCACCTGCCTTTGAGATTTTCTAGATGTGAGCACATTTCTGTTTTTGCTTTCATTTCATTGTTGGGCAATAGAAAAAAAGTTACACATTTGCTGGAAAATCTGCTTTCCCATGTCACCAATGATTGAGCTCATTTTGAATAGCTCTATAGGAATCAATCATTTAGATCTAATTAAAACAGTGAAGAAAATCTCTAATTTTGAGTTGTTTTCCCTACTGAAAAAAAAACAGCCTAGGCTGGTTGGCTGGTTTTAGCTGGTTGACCAGGGTGGTTTTAGAGGGGTTTTGGCCATTTCCAGCCTAGTTTCCAGCCATTTCCAGCCTGGTCTTAGCTGGTCAGGCTGGGAGATGACCAGCTAAAACCAGCTTGACCAGCCTAGCCAGGCTGGGAGCCCAGCCAAAACCAGCTATGTCCAGCTTAAACCAGGCTGGTCAAGCTGGTTTTAGCTGGATTTAGCTGGTCAGTTTCCAGCCTGACCAGCTAAGACCAGGCTGGGCATGGCTAGAAATCAGCCTGGAAATGGCCAAAACCCCTCTAAAACCAGCATAGTCGACCAGCTAAAACCAACCAACCAGCCTAGGCTGGTTAAAGCTGGATTTTTCTGCAGGGTTGCTCTCTTTAATGTAATTGCACTGTACATTCATATGACTCAATTATCAAAAGTGTAAATGGGCCTTCAGTCTTGTGCTTTACCATTTAAATATGGCCACTGTCTGCTATTAGGCTTAATGAAAAGCAAAAAAAAAAAAAAAAAAAAGTGGCCAATTCCCATGTTCACTTGGTCTTATTTAAGCAGCAAATTCAGCAGGTCTCAGATCTAAGGCAATAGACAGGTAGTGTCGCCTTGTCCTTCGCTATTCTGGGCATCTCTCTCGACTGTTGTTCAAAAAATATTACTGGAGCAAAGAAAAGCTGAACAAAGAAGATTGAAAACTAGCAAGTAAACATTTATTTTGTCATGCTTTTATAGCTTTGAGGAACAAATGGAAAATGGGACCATGTCTTCTTCTTTTTATTTCACTTTGTTCAAGGAGTTTGTACACATCAGATATGTCATCCTAACCCTGACACTTACAGTGTATTTGGCAATTATAGTATGCAATGCCATCATTTTGTTTGTGGTGTTTAAAGAGAGATCTCTTCATGAACCAATGTACATACTGATATCTTGTTTGTCTGTCAACGATCTCTATGGCTCCGCTGGTTTCTTTCCCAGGTTAATTGCTGATCTCCTTTCTGATACAAATGCTATATCTAGGCCAGCATGTTTCGTTCAGATATTCACTATTTATTCTTATGCGATGTCTGAATATACTATATTGACCCTGATGGCATATGACAGATATGTTGCTATATGTAATCCTTTGAAGTATCACAAAATCATGAGTTTAAGATTAACAGCTCGGTACATGGCCATGGCATCGTTTTGTGTGGTTTTTTCCATGGCTCTCGTTATTTTCTTTTCAGCCAAGTTGCCTTTGTGTGGGACCGATGTGACTCGACTGTATTGCTCCAACTGGTCTGTGGTTCGACTCTCTTGCGGGACTTCGACTTTGAGTAACAACATATTAGGGTTTTTTGTCACAACCGCAACTGTTTTTCTCCCTGCCTTCTTCATTCTATATACATACATCCGTATTTTAATTATTTGTCAAAAAAGCTCCAAAGAATTTAAAGGCAAGGCGCTGCAAACGTGTCTACCTCACATTGTGAGCTTTGTTAACTACTCTATAGCATCGTTTTGTGATATTGCTCTAAGTCGAAATGATTCAGACAAAATCAAGATATTGACAATCATATTTTCAGTTGAATTCCTGGTTATTCCTCCTGTTCTCAATCCTCTAATTTATGGGCTAAATTTGCCAGAAATTCGCAAAAAAATTGCATGCTTGTTTCGAAGGTCAAAAATTGGCCATTTTATTGAATAAGAGAGCATTACTTTATTTTAAAAGCTAATTTACTTTGTCCACAGACAACATTACTGTACATACGATTGATTTCATCATCTTGTTTATGTTCTGTAACCATATTCAATTAAATAACTGTAGCATTTGTTATATTTCCCTATTCTTACATGTAACCAAGTTAGTAACTCTGTACATTTTTCTAAAAAAAAAAAAAAAAAAAAATATATATATATATATATATATATATATATATATATATATATATATATATATATATATATATATATATATATATATAAATAATAAATATATAAATATAAATAATATATTATAATAATATAATATATATATATATATATAAATAATTATGTTATATATATATATATATATATATATATATATATTTACTTTTATTTGTTAATATTAATATGAATATAAGAAAATAATGGAAAATTCATATTCATATTAATATGAAAAAAAAATAATAATAATAAAATAAAATAAAAAATAAAAAATATATATATATATATATATATATTAATTTACTTTTATTTGTTAATATTAATATGAATATATGAACTGTTTAAATCTGATGTGTTTATAAGTGTTTGTGTTTAAATCTGATGTGTTTATAAGTGTTTAAGGTTATAAGTACAGCTATATGCAGAAATAACCATGCAACAGTTTATGTGGAAGTTTAATATTTTAAACTGTGTATAAAAAAAAAGTATAGCTAAAATTGTACAAATCTATACTTGTTTCGACTGTTTTATGCATTGTATTCGTGCAGGATAAATACAACTGTTATTCCCTCAAACAACAAGTGTTTATTTCCTTCCTGAGGATTCATTGAACTAGTACATGACTGTCGTTAAACTAACATACTGTAAATTTAAAACCCCAGTAACTAAAATGTTAAGTTTTTTTTCAGTGTCCTTACACTTTAACGTAAATTACATACCAATAATACTACAGATTTAATGTGTAAGTACAATACCTGTTATTTCCACATTTACTGCTAATAAGTTTGAAGAATTGTTAAGTATAACTTCTTAAGGCCCAAGGTGTTCTCAGGTACATACATGGATACTTTTGTAGGTTTATGATATTACTATAATAGAACAGACGTTTCAGTTTTGTTTTAAGCTTTAATCCGCAGATTTCCGCAGATTTTTTGCCAATAATTGAGTCTATTTATTTACTTGTCTAAACATATTTATTCAGTTGTTAAATTTATTTCAGCAATATTATTGACTAATATGAACATTTTCTAATGATTTGTTTACAATACAGTCTGTAAAGTAATATGTTCTGTCTTTTACTAGAGATAATATATGAAAGACTTGCTTAGTTTACCGAATAAGTGGATCTGATGGGATTTGCATAGTAAACAATGAATAAATAAGTGATTTATTTATTTAAATAAGTTAAAAACATATAATTTATTTCATATATTAAGTTTTTAGTTATGATACTCCCAGAATCATTTCGCATAAATCCACAGATTTATTACAAAATTTAGAGCAGAAATAGCAAAAAATGACCACAGATTCTGTCTGGCCCTGCTTGTGAGTAGGCACACAGAAATAGTGCAAACAAAAATCCACAAATCTTTCGCCCATAATTGAATCTATTTATTAAAATATATAAATATTTGTAAACGTATATTTGTTCAGTTTTTATACTACTTTTAATCATATTACTGACTTATTTGCAAATTATATACAGTTGAAGTCAGAATTATTAGCCCCCCTGAATTATTAGCGCCCCTGTTTTTTTTTCTTCCCCAATTTCTGTTCTGTTCTGGAGAGATTGTTTCAGCACATTTCTAAGCATGATAGTTTTAATAACTCCTCTCTAATAACTGATTTATTTTATCTTTGCCATGATGACAGTAAATAATATTTGAATTGATATTTTTCAAGACACTTCTATACAGCTTAAAGTGACATTTAAAGGCTTAACTGGGTTAATAAGGTGAACTAGGCAGGTTAGGGTAAATAGTCAAGTTATTGTATAATGATGGTTTGTTCTGTAGATTATCGAAAAAAAATTAGCTTAAAGGGGCTAATAGTTTTATCCCAAAAATGTTTTTATAAATTAATAACTGCTTTTATTCTAGCCGTAATAAAACAAATAAGACTTTCTCTAGAAGAAAAAATATTATCAGATATACTGTGAAAATTTCCTTGCTCTGTTTAAAAAATAATTTGGGAAATATTTAAAAAGAAAATCAAAATCAAAAGGGGGCTAATAATTCTGACTTCAACTGTGTATATATATATATATATGTCGGTGTGTGTGTGTGTGTGTGTGTGTGTGCGTGTGTGTGTGTGTGATTTATTTATAATAAACAGTTTGTAAAGTAATATTTTCTGTCTTTTTTCTGTCAATTTTCTGTTGATACATTATGTGAGACTTGCTGTGTTTACAAGTTACAAAACAAGTAGATCTATTTGGATGTGATTAGTAAACCTTAAATAAAAGTAAAAAATTCTGTGGCCCTACTTATGAGTAACATTATTTTCATTTGTCTCTATAATTAAATAATAATATGCATTTCAATTTCTGTATTTTGCTTGACTTAAAGTCAAGATATTTATAGATAAGTATGGATATTTTACCTCCATTCACTGGGGATTTTGTTTTAGAAGCTGAAAGCAGGATTTACCTAATTTTATCATAGTAATACACTAAAATAAAACTCTAAAATTATTAATATTTTTTTTCTCAGACAAATAGAACATATATAACATAACTAAATTTCAACATTATACATAATGGTTACGATTGCTCTGTTTATGTCATTGTCTATTACAATGATGCAATATTCTTCATGTAAAACATCAGTCATAAGCCTCGCTGGGACTGGGCTGTTGACCTTTTGACCACAGGGACAATATTATTGTTGTAAGGTCTAATTACACCTGAAGGTCCATTTATCTTGACCCATTGGGAGATGCGGTGGTCAAGATGCCAAGATTTTCTGGAATAGTCAAGGGACAGTATTAGGAATGAAAATAGCCTGCTAATTACATGTTTTGAGTTGCATCATTTGTTGGTGCACAATAGGATGCCATACAAATGAATAATTTTAAAGTTTTGAATATTATGATGTGTGTATAACGATTAAACTTTATTTAACATATGTATCCAATTCAAAATATATAATATACAGAAAGTGCCATACTATAGATATTAATTTTTAAAAACAAGCTTTATCTTGCTATTAGAAAAGTTTAATTTAGTCTGGTTTAAACATAAGGCTTATGCTTTGGTGGATGGGGTGTGACTTCAAAATACACACCCACTGCTTATACAGGTATCTGAAAAGACGAATATATCAGATTCCATGTCTATGAACACATAGACACTGATAAATGAGAAAAACACACAAACAGTTTCTCATTTTTTGAAGGACAATTCATATTCATTGTTAGCTTCAGTTGAGCTTTATGTTCAAAGATACTTATGACTGACCAATACAGACATGTTAAGACCTGACCGATACAGAACATGATGAGAATCGTAGCTGTTAACTAATTTGCTAAATTGCTAAATATTCGTAAAAACAAATATATGCCATTCAATTAAGTACTTAAATGTGTGATGTAGGTTTTGACCAGCAGAGCTGTAGTTGGACCATAAAAGTTAGGCCGGACAAGTACATTTTGATTGACAGCTTTTGAAAAAAAACAGACATGTTTATAACCAGACATTATTCAAATGTGCACATGTATAACGGAGGTGCTCTAGCGACAGATGTTAGAGGCCATGGTCTTTAGCCTGGTTGGTAGAGCAATTGACTCCCATGTGGAAGATTGCTGGTTCGATACCAGCTTGGAGCAGGTTGGGTGGTGTTGGACCGTCGGGGTTACATTGGTGCTGTGACCCGGATGGGAGTGAGGTTTAGGGGGGTGAGTGTAACGGAGGCCAGCTAGTGTGTGCTTTGCAGGTAAACCTCACTCCTCTGATTTCTAAATGTGCTCTAGCGACAAACACTAGAGGCCATGGTCTTTAGCCTCCTTGGTAGAGCAACTGACTCCCATGCGGAAGATGGCTGGTTCGATACCAGCTCAGAGCAGGTTGGGTGGCATAGGATCGGTGGGGTTACACATGCACACAGCTCTTTGGCCAACACACTAATAAAAATGTCTTTCTTTACAAATTAAATTAAAATAAATTCTAAATTAAGCTAAATAATAAAAGAATAATGCTAACATTAGCCTATATACTTTGACTGCCTTATGCATTTATGGTTTAATTAATATTTATTTATAATTTAAAAATCCTTTATTTACCAAGATTAGGCTACGTGTTTTGTGGAGGAACTCATTGAATGCACGGTAAATGGCTTTAGCGCACTCCTGCGCTCACTGAGCACTGAACACCTTTCACTGCTGCTGCTACTGGCCGAGATGCAAAAGACTGATCTGGCTAATTTTGCAAGTTTTGGGTCGGATTGTTTGTTAATGTAGGACAGATGAATATAGTTGAAAGATATTTGAGATAATTATATAAAATAATGTTTCAGTTATTTCCCAGTGATGGGTTGCGGCTGGAAGGGCATTCGCTGCATAAAAACGTGCTGGATAAGTTGGCGGTTCATTCCGCTGTGGCGACCCCGGATTAATAAAGAGGCTAAGCCGACAAGAAAGTGAATGAATGAATGTTTCAGTTAACTGCTGTATAAACCTTGTGGGGAAACTCAAAAAGAAAACTTCAGAAAGGCCTTCTGGCTCATGTCAGACTTTCTTGCTGTAAAAGCCAGCCATGCTGTTTATTTAATTAAATAAAACAAATGTGCAGATTGTGTGGTACCTTGTAACCGATTGTAGATTGTAACCTCAAGATAAGGAGAAACAGACAAACATGAGAGCATAGATGCCATCAGATTGATGAACATGAGCATAGATGCTATTAAATAACCTTAGTTGCTTTGTTCAAAATCTACATACTTCCCTACTACAGTATATAGTTGTCATGGTTGCAGGTGTGTGCGCCTTCCGCAGTGTCTGTTTGGTCACGTGGGTTTGTTTTGTTTTGGTTGTCCACGTGTATTTGTTATGGTCATGTGCTATGACGATACTCAGCTGTTTTGATTAGCTCGTCAGCTGAGGCTCATTATCGTGCCTATTTCTGGGCGACGCTTCTATGTTCCTTTGTCAGTTGGTTGTGTTTGCTCATGTGTGTCTGTCTGTGCTCAGGACTGAGAGGATTGACTGCTGGACCCCGTTCGTCTGTCTGTTTCCTACCCAGTTTTAACCGTTGTCTGCGATTGACTATGTTTGAATCTACAATATTCTTTAAAGAGTAGTCAAGAATTAACTCCAATCCTCACAAGATTCAGCTATACTGAGCGTACAGTAGGTGTACTTTAACTTATCGTGTGTCTTGGGTTCAGTCATATGTTGACATTGTGTGAAGCACATGGCTCATGTTTACATGCAGCCGCATGCTTTTGTGTTTTGTTTCATGTGAACATGTGGTTCATGAGTATTCTCATTAGCCCCTTTCACACAGTGATACCGGTAAATATCTGGAAAATTTCCGGAACGACTTTACCGGTATATTCAAAAAAGCGCTGTTCACACAGGCGAGGACGTTACGGAAATTTTCCGGAAAAGAGCATTCACACATCCATTCCAAAATACCGGTAAATTCTGACATCATTCACCACAAATGAGCTTTAAACGGATGCGCTTGTATTTGTAAACATTTGGCTAAATTACAAACTCTGTGGATGATCAATATTGTGAACAACTTTCGCAGGATCACTTTCTCATGTCGAGATGTTCATAATATGTGCGTGTGCACGCGCTCACAGGTTGTTTCACATTATTTACACAGTTGGCATTAAGAAAAACATATGCATTAAGAAGAACATATAAACGTGATCTGACTAACTTCTAGCAGCTAAATGTGTCTGGAAAAATATTCAAAGGCTTTTATCCTCACAAACCGCGCGGACGTAAATGCGTCTGACTGTTGTGATTGGCTAAAGCAGACGTCTCACGTCAGCACGTTCTAGATGTGCACACACTTATTACTTCTGCATTCACACAGTGCAGCATTCCGAAAAATAGCCAGAACGAATTTACCGGTATTTACCAGATTTAGCTAAAACCAGCTTGACCAGCCTAGCAGGCTGGGAGCCCAGCCAAAACCAGCTATTTCCAGCTTAAACCAGGCTGGTCAAGCTGGTTTAAGCTGGATATAGCTAGTCATTTTCCAGCCTGACCAGCAAAGACCAGGCTGGAAATGGCTGGAAACCAGCCTGGAAGTGGCCAAAACCCCTCTAAAACCAGCTTGGTTCACCAGCTTAAACCAGCCAACCAGCCTAGGCTGGTTTAAGCTGGATTTTTTAGCAGGGAATTTTTCAGTTCACCTGTTTTTCTTGATTTGTTCTTTTACCAAACTTCCTCATGTTTGCTCTCTTGTACCAGTTCAAAGTTGTATTTCTTCAGTTTCAAGTCTGCCTGCACTTGGTGTTGTTCTGCTTTGCCAGCACAGATCATCTGGCAGTTTTTCCCCACAGAGTAGTTTTAGTTTTTAGTAATTTTTAAATAAGAAATAAATACTTTGAATCACTTTATGGACTCGTACTTTGACTTCACATCCCTGACTGTACGAACTGTCCATTGGAGGACTCCGCGGAGATCAGTATTGTTATTTTTCTACCCGCTACATCAGGGGTGGCCAACCCTGTTCCTGGAGAGCCACCTTCCTGCAGATTTCAGTTGCAACTCATATCGAACACACCTGCCTGTAATTATCACGTGGTGTTCAGGTCCTAATTAATTGGTTCAGGTGTGTTTGATATGGGTAGCAACTGAAATCTGCAGGAAGGTGGCTCTCCAGAAACAGGGTTGGCCACCCCTGCGCTACATACTGGAAGACATAGAGGTGCCAGCAGAGTCTAGCACAGGGGTGGGCAAACTTGGTCCTGGAGGGCCGGTGTCCTGCACAGTTTAGCTCCAGGCCTAATCAAACACACCTGCTTATAGATTTCTTGTGATCCTAAAGACACTGATTAGCATGTTCAGGTGTGTTTGACTAGTGTTGGAACAAAACTCTGCAGGGACACCGGCCCTCGAGGATCAAGTTTGCCCATCCCTGATCTAGCATCAGTCCATTAGCAGGGCCTAGAAGTAAACTTTGACTTTGGTCAGTGGACTTGGCATATTGGCTACCCTAAAAGAGGCCTTTAATAGCTGTCTTTACATAACCCTTACAACAGGGGGAAAAAAAACAGCTAGAGATCCTGGAAATCTGGAGTTTTTCCCTTTGCCACTCACACTTTGCATCCTCATTGATCTCTCTATAAAAACTAATTCACGACCCTCCTCTAAGTCTATCAGCTAAACTGAAATTGAAGAGGATTAGGGCGTCCCAGACTGCGTCATCTCAGCTTACATCGCTGGAGACATTTTCAGGAATGCTTGATTTGTCTAAACCTACTGGGGCCAACCCAGCGACCACCCTGGCTGCAGCGCGATCTTCTGAGACACACGTTTGAGACACTGCAGCACTCTTAAGGCTGATTTATACTTCTCCGTCAAAAGCCCGCGTATGCTACGGCGTTGACGCATAGCCCTATGCTGTGGCCGTCGGCGTCGCTGACGTCAAGTTTGAGCCACTTGTACATCCAGGAAGCATTCAGAAAGAACAAAACACAGGCGAAGAAACTCGACACAGAGACACATTAACACCTCACTTCCAACTAGCATTTTGGAAGTGTTAATGCAGACCAACAGAGACAAGAGTACACTGCAGTGTCTGAAGAGGTGACCAGCTTCCTGGCACCACACTTATGGAAGTGTAGGAGGAGAAAGGGCCACTTCGCCACAACTTCTCCAGGCCCAGCGAACCCCCAAGTGACACCATCAGCCCCAGAGCAGTCTAGAGCTCTTTGCCTAGCTTGCATTACTTAAAAATCCTGCACCGTTTGCTTCATTAAATCCTCCCTGGATGTCCATTGTGCAATAATAAATAATAAAACTGGAGTAATATGATCATATTTCTTAGTTCTAGAAAGCACTCTAGCAGCTGCATTCTGAACCAACTGAAGTTGGTTTTCCACATTAAACATTGGTAGCAAATGTCAGTTTGGCATCATTTTTAAGATGAAATCTGGCCGTCAAACAGCCTGGCCTTTGGTTTCTAACAAAAATCAAAACCACATTTTTGACTAAAGACAAAATGAAGAAGAAAGCGACCAGTTTACGGCAAGTTGATTTTATTTTTAGTTGGTGTTTCTGTGTGGAGTTTGCATGTTTTCCTTGCATTCGCGTGGGTTTCCTCCGAGTGCTGGAAGGTGGTTGCGGCTGGTTGCGGCTGGAAGGGCATCCGCTGTGTAAAAACGTGCTGGATAAGTTGGCAGTTCATTCCGCTGTGGCAACCCCGGATTAATAAAGGGACTAAGCCGACAAGAAAATGAATGAATGAATGAATGAAATGGCTCCAGTCCAAAGCATCAGACAAAGTGGGCTATTAAGCTTATGTGTATCCATTCCAGATAACACATTTATAAACTGAAAGTATCAATCCATCTTTATACGGTAAACTAGCCCAAACGAAAAAAATAATTAGTGCATGCTGTTGAATGTGCATTTAATAATAGCCCTGAATAAATGCATCTATTACTCGTCACGGATGCTCATACGATCAACAAAGAAAATCTAAATGAAAACAGTGCATTTATTGGCTGCCTTAGACATATAGTCACTTTAAAATAACAAATACTGGTCACATCTCTCTATATTTAGGCTAAAACATTACTTTACTTAATTCTTTGTGATTTTATTTCCATGATTTTAGTTATTTATTTATTCTTTCGCTTTTGAGATCCAAAATGAAAACACACTTTAGTTAAACTATACAATGATAATAAAGCTTGTTAACAAGTTTATAATGATTTAAAAAGGAATTATGTATATATTGATCTGTTATTTGATCTTTATTTGCATACAAAACAAAGTAGGCTATATAGGCCTAATTTCTGCCCATTCACATCCCGTCTATTTACACCCACAATATAATGTTCATTCCAATTTTAATATTGGTTGACGTAGATTTAAGCTTCTCAAGAGAGCTCCTTTTGGGCATTTGTAAAAGAACAATTAGCATGAGACCAGTCTCAATGTATATATATATCACACCAAATCAAGCTTTTACACAACACTCTGTCAAACATAGAGATTGTCCGACACACACTGCATGTGGTAAGATTTGAATCATTTCATTTGCTGTCATTGTGAACGGTTTCATATTACCTTTGAACATGAAATATTGGAATTGAGTAGATGGATATCTGAATGCTGTTTAAAATTACCCAAACTGTACTTACAGAGAATGTTGGGTCCCACTTTATATTAAGTGGCCTTAACTAATATGTACTTACATAGGAATTAATAGTTTGTTACAATGTACTTATTGTGTAAAATACATGTATTTACTGTGTACTTATGCTTGATTTAATACATGTATGTACTTACATCTGTATTTAACTTTTGTAATTACATTTGTAAATACACTGTTGACCATCCCTTACACCTTAACCTACCCTTAAACCTACCCATACCACCAAACCTGTCCATAACCCAACCTCTATCCCAACTCAAAAGCACCCCAAGTGTTCTCAAATACATTATAAGCACAGTAAGTACATTGTATTTATTTTTCTGATGTAAGTACATAGTAGTTAAGGATACTTAATATAAAGTGGGACCGAATGTTGTAATAAATGCACAACAGAATTTTCATCTGACTTATTGTTGCAGATGCTGCCACTACTAAAGAATGAGACTATCGTAGTAGTGTTTACACTCTCTGGACTAAATGATACGATGGGAAACAGATTTGTGTTTTTTTCCTTGACTGCACTGTATTATCCATTCATCGTGTTTTGCAACGTGACCATACTTTATGCTGTAATGATGCACAAAAAGCTTCATGAGCCAATGTTTTTCTTCATATGCAATCTGTGTGTGAATGCACTTTATGGCACTGTTGGCTTCTACCCCAAGTTCTTGTATGATTTATTATCCCAGGATCATGTGATTACTTATGCTGGATGCTTAATTCAGATCTTTATCATTTATTCATCTGTTTTATGTGACATTTCAACACTAACAGTGATGGCATATGACAGGTATGTGGCAATATGTAGACCACTGGAGTATCATTCCATAATGACAGACCAGAGAATTGTTGAATGTATTCTTTTCTGTTGGCTGACTCCATTTTTCTGCATGACTGTCCTTATTGGACTAACAGCTAGACTCACTTTATGTGGCTCTGCTATTGAAAAGCTATATTGTGAAAATTGGTCTGTTGTTAAACTCTCCTGTTTTTCTACGACTGTAAACAACGTGGTTGGGTATGTTATCATTATTGTATATTTCGGGCATGCCGTGTTGATATTTTGCTCGTACATTTATTTGGTTGTAAAATGCCGAAAGTCAACGGAGAGCAGGCACAAGTTCATACAAACGTGTGTGCCGCATCTGCTTGCATTGCTTAATGTAACTGTCGCATTGTTGTTTGATGTACTGTACAGTCGTTACGGCTCAAAGAGTTTGCCCCAGGATTTGCGCAATTTCATGTCTCTGGAATTTCTACTGGTTCCCCCCATGTTAAATCCTCTTATTTATGGATTAAATCTGACAAGACTAAGGAGGGAAGTCATGAGGTGCTTTTTAAAAAAATAAGTAGATCCAACTGAATGAGTCATTTAAAAGCAAAACCTATTTTGATATCTTAATTAAGTTGCTTGTGAACATCTCTTTTAAAACAGTTTGTATTATGGATCTTGTACAATACTAAATACAATGTACAAATTTTGATAGATTTGGTCATTATTACTAATTTCATTTATTTGTTTATTTAATAAAAGAAGCACATTTAAAATTGCAGACTTAAAGGTGTGAAATTCACTTTTTTTTTTCAAGTTTTCCATGCTTTGTATGTATTAAACTATAGTTGGTTGTATATTTTAGATAACTAAACAAATGACCAAACACTTTACTGTTAAAATTACCCTTTAAATTAAATGTTAAAAAAGTCTTAGTGTTTTTACACTTCTTTTAAATCAAATTAGCATTTTCTTTTTACATTGCAACATAGACTGACCAAGTGTGCAGGCATTTAGTTAAAATCTATTGCATTTTACAGTATACAGTTGAAGTCAGAATTATTAGCCCCCTTTTGATTTTTTAATTATTTTTTTAATATTTCCCAAATGGTATTTAAAAGCGCAAGGAAATTTTCACAGTATGTCTGATAATCTTTTTTTCGTCTGGAAAAAGTCTTAGTTGTTTTATTTCGACTAGAATAAAAGTAGTTTAGAATTTTTTAAAACTATTTTTGGGACAAAATTATTAGCCCCTTTAAGCTAATTGTTTTTTCGATAGTCTACAGAACAAACCATCATTATAGAATAACTTGACTAATTACCCTAACATGCCTATTTCACCTTATTAACCTAGTTAAGCCTTTAAATGTCACTATAAGCTGTATAGAAGAGTCTTGAAAAATATCAATATCAATATCATTATGGCAAAGATAAAATAAATCAGTTATTAGAAATAGGTTTTTAAAACTATTATGCTTGGAAATGTGTTGAAACAATCTTATAAAATAAACAGGGGTGATAATAATTCAGGGGGGCTAATAATTCTGACTTCAACTGTATATGTTGAATGGGGCACAGTTCTTTTTGTTTAAGAGAGAAGTGAATTTCATAGTTTCAAAATCATCTCCAAGTAATATACTAAAACACATAAACATTTTGAGCATAAATCAATTACGAAATAGCCCAATAACCTTCCTATGAGTTCATTAGAGCACATGTACAGTATGCAAGAACGCTAGTCAGACTACGGACAGCGTGTTAGGTTGCTATACCACCTTCACAGGGCTCAAATGTCCTTGTGGCCAACAGAGCTCTGCAAGCCTGATGACTTTCTCTGTCCAACAGGCACAGTGATTTTGCCAGACACTTGTTATATTAGCTTATTTCCCCTCACCGTTTTATTTAACATTTTCTTACAAATTTAAGATTTTCTCAAATGTTTATTTTACATTGCAACATAGATTGATCAATTGTGCAGGCGTTTAGGTCAATTCTATTGCATTTTACAATATATTAGTTGAATGGGGCACAAACTCTCTTCTTTAAAGAGGGGAGTAAATTTCACAGTTTCCAACTCATCTCCAAATAATGTACTAAAATATAGAAATAAACATTTCGAGCACAAATCAATAATGAAATAGCCCAATAACCTTCCTATGAGTTCATTAGAGCACAGGTACAGACTGCAAGTACGCTAGTCAGACTACGGACAGTGTGTTAGGTTGCTATACCACCTTCAGAGGGCTCAAATGTCCTTGTGGCCAACAGAGATCTGTATGCCTGATGACTTTCTCTGTCCAACAGGTACAGTGGTTTTGCTAGACACGCGTTGTTATATCAGCTTATTTCCGCTTACAATCTTATTTTACATTTTCTTACAAATTAAATTAACATTTTCTCAAAGGTTTATTTAACATTGCAACATAGACTGACCAATTGTGCAGGTGTTTAGGTCAATTCTATTGCATTTTACAATATATTTGTTGAACAGGGCACAAACTCTCTTCTTCAAAGAGGGAAGTAAATTTCACAGTTTCAAAATCACCTCCTAATATTGTACTAAAATATAGAAATAATTATTTTGACCACAAATCAGTTACAAAATAACCCTATAACCCTCCTATTGACCTTATTCTCCACAGACGACCGGGCGCTGCCATTTGAATCTTTTTGGCACGAGACTTCCGGTCTCATTCACTTCCATTCATTTTTAGACATTAAAAACTGCTCGTTTCGTTGTTTGATGTTGCAAACTGATATTTCCATGTTGTATTATTCTACTTGGTCTATATAGTCATGCAAACATTTGTTTGTAGAGCAAGTAGTTTGACCGTTTTTTGCCGTTTATTATTCCTTGTCATTTCTCCCATAGGCGAGTGAAACGGAAGTTCTAAGACAATCGCGAAAACAGGCGCACTTCCGCATTTGAGAATAAGGTCAATAGGTTTATTAGTGCACAGGTACAGACTGCAAGTACGCTAGTCAGACTACGGACAGTGTGTTAGGTGGCTATTCCACCTTCAGAGGGCTCAAATGTCCTTGTGGCCAACAGAGATCTGTATTCCTGATGACTTTCTCTGTCCAACAGGTACAGTGGACACAAGCTAGACACTTGTTATCTTAGCTTATTTCCCCCCACAGTCTTATTCTTTTTACACTTCTTTTACAAATTAAATGAATATTTTCTCAAAGGTTCTTTTTACATAGCAACATAGACTAACCAAGTGTGCAGGCATTTAGTTAAAATATATTGCATTTTACAAAATATCAAATGAGGCACAAACTCCATTCTTTAAAGAGAGAAGTAAATTTTCAAAATAATCTCCAAATAATGTACTAAAATAAAGAAATAAACATTTTGAGCACAAATCAATTATGAAATAACCCAATAACCTTCCTATGAGTTCATTAGAGCACAGGTACAGTATGCAAGAACGCTAGTCAGACTACGGACAGTGTGTTAGGTTGCTATACCACCTTCACAGGGCTCAAATGTCATTGTGGCCAACAGAGCTCTGCATGCCTGATGACTTTCTCTGTCAAACAGACACAGGGGTTTTGCTAGACACATGTTGCTATCTTTGCTTATTTCCCCCCACAGTCTTAGCATTTTTACTTTTTTTTTTTACAAATTAACTTAACATTTTCCCAAAGCTTTTTACATTGCAACATAGACTGACCAAGTGTGCAGGCATTTAGGTCAATTCTGTTGCATTTTACAATATATATGTTGAATGGGGCACAAACTCTCTTCTTTAAAGAGGGGAGTAAATTTCACAGACAGGGGACACACATATTCACCTCCAAATAATGTACTAAAACAGAAATAAATATTATGGCACAAATCAATTACAAAATAACCTAATAACCCTCATATGGGTTGATTAGAGCACAGGTACAGTATGCAAGTATGCTAGTAAGACAACGGACAGTGTGTTAGGTTGCTATACCACCTTCAGAGAGCTCAAATGTTCAACATAACTCTGTATGCCTCATTACTTTCTCTGTCCAACAGGCATAGTGGTTTTGTTAGACACTTGAGCCCAATCCCAATTCTATCCCCTAGCCCTTCCCCTTACCCCTCATTTTTCACATTCAAGTCAAGGGGTAGGGGGGTGTTCTCTTCTAAATTCTCTTCAGCTTGAAGGCGTTAAGGCGTCGTAAGGTTAAGGGGAAAGGGTAGAGAGCCTATCAAACAATTTTTCAGCACCACACTTGAAATCAAGGGGTAGGAAAATTTTCCAGAATACACCAGCCACAGCGGCAGTATTGCTGAACCGGGAAGTAAGAAATCCACAAATTATTTTTTATTTATTTATTTATTTTTTGTCATTATTACGGATTTTTACAACAAACAATCATATGTTTTAATATATCCATAACCGCATTCATGTTTTACCGTCATGCTTTAAAAAAAAACAAAAAATTAAAACTGCAAAATTTTGCTATCTATATTTAACTATATTATCGCTAAAATAATAACTCCTGTACAGAAGTTCCACAACATTCTGTCACTCGATGACATTCGAATACCCTGTCAGAAAAGTCTGGCTAGGAATGACCTTTTTATAGTGTCTGCTTTAATGTTAATGTTATTTTCGTGTGTTTACATACATGAATATGGCCACTATGTAAATGCGCAGTATATTTATAGTCTTAATGCCACATTAGATTCGTTGCAAAAAACATATGCTGGATAAGTTGGTGGCTGATTCCTCTGTGGTGACCCCTGATTAATAAAGGGACTAAGCCGAAAAGAAAATAAATCAATGACAACTGTTATCGTTATTATTTAGACTTTAATAGCAGTGGGTCTCCGGGTGAATCAGGTGATCTGTAAATTGTATATTCTGTGTACATTGAGGATTGGCTTTGATAACCACTGAACAACACGATCTCACGGCAATTCGTAACTTTTTGATTTAGTGGCTAATTCGTATTAATTCGTACGATCTAATTCGTACAACTTAGTACGATTTGCTCATCCCCCAATGACGGTTGGGTTTAGGGGTGGGGTTAGGTGCCACGCCTCCTTTTTAAAATCGTACAATTTTGTACGACTGAACTCGTACAAATTCGTACGAATTAGCCAATAAACTGGCAAAATGTAAAATACTTACGTTTTTTCGTGAGATCAGGCTGGTATTTCAATTAAGCTGCATATGGAATCTCAGACTTTTGAATCATATTTACTATGATTGCTATTACTATAATTCATTCATTCATTTTCTTGTCAGCTTAGTCCCTTTATTAATCCGGGGTCGCCACAGTGGAATGAACCACCAACTTATCCAGCAAGTTTTTACGCAGCGGATGCCCTTCCAGCCGCAACCCATCTCTGGGAAACATCCACACATACTCTCACACACACTCATACACTACGGACAATTTAGCCTACCCAATTCACCTTTACCACATGTCTTTGGACTGTTCGGGAAACCGGAGCACCCGAAAGAAACCCACGCGAAGGCAGGGAGAACATGCAAACTCCAAACAGAAATGCCAACTGAGCCGAGGTTTGAACCGGCGACCCAGCGACCTGTGAGGTGACAGCACTACCTATTGCGCCACTGCCTCGCCTATTACTATGATGATTATTATTATAATTAATAACTGTAATGATGGAATAAGACGTCATTTCTCTACTCATAGCCTGCCATAGTTCATATTTTACAATATTAGCTAACAGCCATTTCACAAGTATCGTGAATTCATGACCTTTATAAGGATTTAAAAAGATTTTATTATAATACTAAAAGATTCTGTAAATTATTTGATCTTTTTCTAAAAACAAAACTATTAACTATTAATGTCTTATACACTTTTGAATGAGAATAGACTTATAATGTGGCATGTAATCTAATTTAATAAATAATTCAAGTCAAATCTGTGTGGTCCCTGTGTTTTTATGCAAAAGATCAGAGCCTCCTGAGACAAGTTGTGATACTATAAAGACTCCAGATATCTGAAGACTCACAGTTCTTTTAAACCTTTTCCTCTCACATATTATGTAAAGACACAATGGTCATGCCAAGATGTATCACAGAAGGTATTTAACTCTGGTAATGTGTTTTATTTTGAGCAATGTTGAAATATAATGTTTAAGTTGTCTGTTGATGTAAAGTTCAATTTGTAAACATACTGTTTATTCGTGTTTTACACAATTACAATATGCTATATATTGTTCACTATTGCTGTTAACAAATGTAACCTTGTTGTTATTTTTAACACTATAGTTAACTGCCTATCTATCTGCATTTTCTTCATCAGGTCACTGATGAAAACCTCGGTGCCTAAAGCAAAATGGAAAATAATACCAATTTTAACTTCATGTTGTTTGAAAATCTGGGGTACATAAGATATGCTCTCTTCATTTTGGGTTTTGTTCTGTACTTTTCTATAATATTCTTTAATGTCCTTATTATGCTTGCGGTGTTTCTGGAAAGGACATTACACCAGCCTATGTACATTCTGATTTCATGCTTGTCTATGAACTCTCTGTTTGGTACAGCTGGCTTTTTCCCAAGAGTTCTGTCAGACTTGCTGTCTGAAACACACTCAATCTCTCGTGAAGCATGCTTCTTCCAGTCTTTTGTCATTTTCACATATGCAGCAAATGAGTTCTCAATATTAATGATAATGGCGTTTGACAGATTTGCTGCAATTTGTAAACCTCTACATTACCACAGTATAGTTAGACCAAGGTTTCTTGCTTGTGTAATAGTTACAAACCTGACTTTTCCTATGATTTTGCTTGGTGTTGCTGGACTTTTAACTACCAAACTGAGAATGTGTGGTAACAAACTATTTAAGGTATACTGCCATAGCTATGAAATAGTCAAGCTTTCTTGTGACAACATCGCAATCAATAACGCTTTTGGCTTGTTTATATTAATAATAACTACCATCATTCCTTTAAGTTTAATATCATTTTCCTATGTAAAAATTATAATCATTTGTCAGAGAAGCTCAGCACAGTTTAAAGGCAAAGCTTTTCAAACCTGTATTCCACACATAGTGGTACTTTTGAATTTCACAATTGCTGTTATATGTGACACCACTTTGAGTCGGGTTGTGAATTTACAAATTCCTGTAGGTCTGTCAGTTTTTCTTTCACTTGAGTTTCTCATTATACCACCAATACTCAACCCCCTTATTTACGCCTTTAACCTGCCTGATATTCGCAAAAAAATGATCAGCCTTATAAAACCATTTCGGTAGTTTTTTTCCTGTTTGTTTATTTCTTGTCAGATGCAATACATGTTGCACATTCTTATTAAAGTTATGTTTTTCATATTACATTGTCATTTTACTGTATTTGATATGATTTAATATTTGCAAAAGTAAACAAAACAACATTTATAATACACTGATTACTTGAAAACCAATATCCTGCAAAGCCAAAAAAAGATGTATAAACAGTGTGGGTTTACTGTTACAACTTGCAGGTTTTTACATATAAGCAGTTTGATTTTTGTCTTAAAAATTACTTTACACTTTACTTTGGCTCCTTACCTGCCTTTAATTAAGATCTTGACTGTTTATTAGTACTAATATAGTACTTAGTTATTCTACATTCCTTATTCTATCCAATACATAAAGCAAAGTACTATCTTCTCTATTAATAAGCAGCAAATGAGTACTTTGTTGAGCTTAAAAAGGCTTAGTTGATGGCTTGTTCATTTTGAAAAATGTGACAATTACATTATATTATTATTTTATTTACTTATTTTATCTTACAGAACACTGGCCTCTGATTTATAAAAATATAGATTGAAATTTGCATCTCTTTAGGGATTACTTCACCCATTATCAATATCATTAGCAATGTCATCCTTCTGAGTTACAACTCCCATCAAGCATTGTACCTATCAAACATCTACAGTTGTTAACTTGTTAGCAATTTTGACTCTCATACACACAGCCACAAGTCATCATCATCATCATCAGTAGCACAATCGCCTCACAGAAAGAAGATCACTCAGTCCCGGCTGGGTTAGTTGGCATTTTAAAATTTGCATGTGTTCCCTGTGTTTGCCTGGGTTTCTTCCATGTGCTCCGTTTTCCCCAACAGTCCAAGGACTTGCTATAGTTGAATTGAATAAGCTAAATTGGCCATAGTGTATGTGTGTGAATGCAAGAGTGTACGAGTGTTTCCCAGTGATGGGTTGTGGCTAAAAGGGTGTCCGCTGCTGCATAAGTTGGCAGTTCATTTTGCTGTGGTGACCCCTAATTAATAAAGGGACTAAGCTGTATAGAAAATGAATGAATGAATGTGCAAGAATAATGCATTTTATTTAGCGATTCATTACGCTGTGGTGACACCTGATTACTAAAGAAACTAAGCCAAATAGAAAATGAATGAATGAATAAAAATAATGCATTTTATTTAAAGGCCCCCGTACAAGTCAGCAAAAACAGTCAGTTCAAATAAAAACACATTATAAAAGTCAATAGAAAACAATGCAGTTTTTAAAAAGTGCAGTTGAGTTAAAGAGAGACGGCTGTTCTAAACAGATTAGTTTTGAGTTTAGATTTAAATTGTAAAAAAATAATTAAGACCACGGAGATCAGGAGAAGGTGAATTCCAAAGCTTCAGGACCAGAGTCTGCTCCACATGGTGACAAGGTGGACGGGAAACAACAAGGTATGGAGGAGCAAGATTGTGGTTGGCTTTAAAAGTAAGACGTATTTTATAATTAGTTCTGAAAGAATCATCACTGATTACAGACATCATTAAATTATTTTTTTTTTTCATGGATAACCTTCTGAGCCGTGGGTTTCCTCCGGGTGCTCCGGTTTCCCCCACAGTCCAAAGACATGCGGTACAGGTGAATTGGGTAGGCTAAATTGTCCATAGTGTGTGAATGTGTGTGTGGCTGGAAGGGCATCCGCTGCGTAAAAACTTGCTGGATAAGTTGTCGGTTGATTCCGCTGGTTTGACCCCAGAAAAGGGACTAAGCCGACAAGAAAATGAATGAATGAATGAACCTTCTGAGCCACTGAGTAAATACACATTCCACATTCCATACTCCTTCCACAATAGACTTTGAACTATTGCATTGATCTACCGCTTTAACTTTGTGGTTCCCATTTACATAAACAGGAGCATCCAGCAGCATAAGGTCTAATCCAAAAAACAGGCAGGGGCAGGCAGCAAACGACTATTCAAAATTAGAAAGAAATAAGAAATTTTCACATATTCATTTTCTTTTCAGCTTAGCCCCTTCATTAATCTGTGGTCGCCACAGCAGAATGAGCCGCCGACTTATCCAGCATGTGTTTTATGCAGCAGAAGCCCTTCCAGCAGTAAACCATAACTGGGAAACACCCATACACTCTCATTCACTACGGACAATTTTTAGCTTACCCACTTCATCTGTACCAAATGTGTTTGGACTAGTGGGGGAAACCAGAGCACCTGAAGGAAACCCACGCGAACACGGGGAGAACATGCAAACTCCACACAGCAGACATCCCAAGTCTACCGGACGTTCTGGGAGTCTCCCGCAAATGCATAGAGACTCCCAGATACCCACAAACAAGTGATTTGAGGACCCTCCCGGTCCAAATCACATCATGACTTTGTGTCAAGTCCTCAGTGTGACAATGTGTTAAAGTTGAGTCACTGGTTTAATTTACTTGAACATGTTTTTTTTTTTTTTACTTAAGTGCTGTAAAAGCTTTTTAGTGCTTGAAATTCACAAGTTACACTGTGCAAATGAGGAAAACATTCAAAATGGGATACAAGTTTAACTTTAATTTGTAACTCGGCTACAAGTTCTTGGCTTAGGCCCTGTCTGTCAACGGTCTCTGGTTTAAGAGAAGCTCTGTGGCATGAAACTATGTTCCCACTAGTACTAAAAACTTTCTCAGGTGGGAAGCTAGTTGCTGAAACACAGATATTCCTTGCTCTATTTTGCTAATTTGGAGAAATCTACCTCATGGACGGTCCACCACCTAAGTGGAACATAACTTTAGAAGAAGGGGGTCTGGTAGACCAGGTAAAGGTTCTGCACTTGCTGATGAACTGGTCTCCACAGTGGAAGAATCTATCAATGGCTTCATTTAGTTGTCTTCAATGTAAGTGCTTTTAAACGTTGGATCAGTGAGGGAGGAAATATTAAGCAGGTCTCAGGATTAGAATAATAGCCATCAAGACACTCCAAAATTGGTGAGGTTTGTATCTTCATTTTTAGGTTTGTAACTCCGCCGGTCCTACTGCACACAACCCGCTTTGAGCTGGGATTGAACAGGTCACCTTCCGCATGGGAGTCATTTGCTCTACCAAGGAGGCTAAAAACCATAATATCTAGCTGTCGCTAGAGCAACTTTAGAGTTCAGAGGTTTTGCAAGGTTGTCTTGAATAGAGAAAGCACTGGTTTGACACAGGATACTTACATAGTCCTCACCTGAAAATGCATCTGTGAAACCTTGGAGTGGCTTGAGCGCAGACTCCAGGACCTGAAGCTCATACCAAATGGGCACCAATTGTCTTGCCTAAGTCCAAGGAAAGGACCCTTTATGGCAGACTCTTGCTCCAAGATCAATCATTTGTTCCCTGCATCCTCACCTGGCCAGCTACTTAGTGTTAAGCTGATGTTTAGGTAGACAGAAATCTCTCTGGACATTGGCAAGTTCTTTGCGATTATGGTACGAGGCTAGTCCCCTGGCCTCCTTGTAACAAGGCTATGATGTGAGCAGTCAATTTTGACATCTCTGTCCATTTGAAGCACTTCTTTTAGCAGTTTGGATACCACTGTAGTTGTACTTGATCCTGGGAGCTCGGGGATTCCCTTAACGCAGATATTTCCCCTTCTCTTGCTCCCTTCCATATCTTCACATTTTTCTTTTAAGTCGTCAACGTGCCTTGTGAGTTTAGTTACCGACGCCTGGAAGGTGACCATCTCGTCTGACCAAGTTGAGAGTTCTTCCTCGACATCCTTAACGTTCTCTTTTATTTGGTCAATTTCGGAACTTACAACGGTGGCATTATTCGCGATTTCGGTTCTCATAGCCTGTAGTTCAGATTTAACTGCATCAAAATCCTCGGCCAATGCGTTCTTCAACTCCTTCCCTATTACAGATGATATGTCTGCTCTTAAAAAGCACTGAATGTCCGCCTTTATCCTCAAAGTCAGTATTTTTATCTTCAGGACGTCCAGAAGAAGACCTGACAGGTCAGCCGGGCTCACCGGAACTACTCTGCCCCGAGGCCTCAAGCCTTACGATGAAAACACGTCTTTACTCCATCACGCTCGGCAGCGCCCCCTCTGGCAAGTTCTTTTCTTGTTCTCCAGCTGCCACAATTTTCTTGTAACACCAATACTGCGCTTAATAAAGAAACTCCTCATGCTTCTGTCTGTAAAAAATGCAATAAAATAGAAACAATTAGGATACAAGCTTTTAAGAGTTATCTTTTAAAAGTTGTCAAACTATTTTACAAACCATGTTAAACTGATAAACTGGTGGTTCATTCCGCTGTGGCAACCCCTGATTAATCAGGGACTAAACCGAAGTAAAGTGAGTGAGTGACTTAAAAACAATGTCGCATGTCATGTGCATTCATAACCACATTTAAACAGATTATATTAGGCTACATATTCTGTAAATTATTTTAAAAATGTCTTTAAAAAGTATTAATAATTTCTTACACACTTTTAACAGAAGACTTGAGATGTGTGACATGTAATAGCATTTCAAGAGTTCCCATTTAGATATGCTTGGCATTAATTGCAGGTTTGGCATGCTGTCCCGGGAGAGAACCCTGAGCTCGGAGATATTTGAGTCCAGGGCTCCTGCCCGGTCTAGAAGCAAATCAGGAGATCCGAGATCAGGTAGGTCTTGATCGCTCCCCCTTTAGAAAGGGAGAAAAAGGAGGAGATGGGGTGGAAGGGGGGATTCTTCCAAAAAGAAGATAGAGCAATAAGGAGAAAGTGATCCATTTATATTAAGCTAGGATCATTCTGATTGGATTATTACTGATTATGGGTGAGTGGCCAGCAGTGCACAATCATATCATGTGCTCCTCTCGAAATTAGTTTGTGAAACTTCACTTATTATGTAATAAAATTCAGGTTAAATCTAACTGGTCCCTGTGTTTTTATGCAAAAGCTGAGAGCCTCCTGAGACAATTTATGATGCTATAAAAACTCTATGAATCTGGTGACTCACAGTTCTTAAACAACACAGATTTTTCCTCACATATTAAATAAAGAAACAATGGTCAACAATGTTCATGTGTCACAGAAGGTATTTAACTCCTTTATTGTGTGCTTTAATTGGTTTAATGTTGAAAATCAATGTTTAAGTTGTCTGATGTAAAGTTTAATTTGAAAACAAGTCATCAACTAATGATAATTCATGTAGAAATGTGTTTAGAAATGTCTCCAGAATGATTATATGGTTTAAATTGTTCAGTTATACCTAATGCGTTCATTGATGCAAACAAATGTAACCTTATTGTTATCACTATAGTTAAATGCTTATGTTTCTGTACTTCCTTCTTCAGGTCACTAATGGGAAACCTTGGTTCCTAAAGCAAAATGGAAAATAATACCAGTTTTAACTTCATGTTGTTTGAAAATCTAGGATACATAAGATATGCTCTCTTCATTTTGGGTTTTGTTCTGTATTTTGCTATAATACTCTTTAATGTCCTTATAATGCTTGCAGTGTTTCGGGAAAGGACATTACACCAGCCTATGTACATTCTGATTTCATGCTTGTCTATGAACTCTTTATTTGGTACAGCTGGCTTTTTCCCAAGAGTTCTGTCAGACTTGCTGTCTGAAACACACTCAATCTCTCGTGAAGCATGCTTCTTCCAGTCTTTTGTCATTTTCACATATGCAGCAAATGAGTTCACAATATTAATGTTAATGGCGTTTGACAGATTTGCTGCAATTTGTAAACCTTTACGTTACCACAGCATAGTTAGACCAAGGTTTCTTGCTTGTTTAATAGTTATAAACCTGACTTTTCCAATGATTTTGCTTGGTGTTTCTGCACTTTTAACTACCAAACTAAAAATGTGTGGTAACAAACTATTTAAGGTGTACTGCCATAGCTATGAAGTAGTCAAGCTTTCTTGTGACAACATCGCAATCAATAATGCTTTTGGCTTGTTTATAGTAATAATAACTACCATCATCCCAATAAGTTCAATACTATTTTCCTATGTAAAAATTCTTATCATTTGTCAGAGAAGCTCAGCACAGTTAAAAGGCAAAGCATATCAAACCTGTATTCCACACATAGTGGTCCTGTTGAATTTCACAATTGCTGTAACATGTGATGTCACTTTGAGTCGGGTTGCGAATTTGCAAATTCCTGTAGGTCTGTCCGTTTTTCTTTCACTCGAGTTTCTTATTATACCACCTGTACTCAACCCCCTTATTTATGCTTTTAACCTGCCTGATATTCGCAAAAAAATGGTCAGCCTTATAAAACCATTGAGATAGTTATTTAGTTTGTTTGGTCTTTTCTGTTCAGATGTAGTACAAATTGCACACTCTCATTAAAGTTGTCTTTTATGTTACAATAATGTCAAGTTACTGTATGTCTTTATGTAATAAAACAGCATGCATGCTAAATTGAAAACAAATCTGTTGTGAATAAAAAAAAAAATATATATATATATATATATATATATATATATATATATATATATATATATTGTTATATACTCTTTATTAGAACTTAAGATTCTACACTTTTGCACATCACTAATCCAACTCAATAACTAAAACTAACTATTACCTTACTATTAAACAGCAGAAAATGTGTAGTTTATTGAGCTAAGTCTTGGTTAATAGCAATAATTTGACCTTGAAATAAAGTGTAAGAATTACTTTATATTAGTATTATTATTTTTGTTGCTATTATTATTATTTTAAATCTCACAAAATAGTGGCATTTGAAATCTAGATTGAAATTCAGTCCCTTCATTGAATGTACAGTAGCAATTTGTTATATGAGCTTTACACACAATATTGTGAAGTTTCCCATATCTGTGATGTTAATGTGTCTACCTGAACTTTAAAAGGGAACAAATCATGTGTATGAACCCTTGCCAATAAAAATTCTTTGCTGACTTTTCTTTCAGGCTGATGGTTTTTAGCTTTTTAAGTTTTGACAAGAAGTTTATACAGTATATTTGCCATAGTATATCACAGAAGTGTTGATATATGGCCACGTGTATGCAAAGGTTGATGGCATAATTGTTTAAATAAAAAAAAAATAGTCTCTAAAACCTTTTTTTATTGAAGAAAATTTCTTCCTCCATGGATGCACAACTGGAGTAGATCATCTATAAAGCAAAAATCTATTGCTAATTCAACAATGTCACTTTAGAACTATTTGAATTATTTAATTGCATCGCATAGAGTATTGTAATTAGTGATGACAGAACAGAGGATCAAGATTATAAAGCTAAATCACATAAAACTACATCAATTCACATAGCTCTGCCAGCCAGTGTTTATCTGCTGCATTAAAGTATCCACTAACATTGTACTAATTTATTGATTTTATTTATTTATACAGGGACAATGTACAACATGACATGTTGTGCCAGAGTTAGCTATAGAGCTAATTTACATCTGCAGTCCCTTGGCAGGAAGTTGTAACAAATTTAACGGTAAAAAATAATACATTAAACACTTACAATACAATACAGGCAATACATTATTCATTCTTTTCCTTTCTGGCTTAGTCCATTTATTAATCTGGGGTTGCCAGATGTTTGAGTACAGCATGTTTGTATGCAGTGGATGCCCTTGCAGCCGCAACCCATCTCTGGGAAACATCCACACACACTCATACACTATGGACAATTTAAGCCTACCTTATTCACTTGTACCACATGTATTGACTGTGGGGGAAACCAGAGTACCTAGATGAAGCCCATGCAAATGCAGGGAAAACATGCAAACTATACACAGAAACGCCAACTGACCCAGCCAAGGCTCGAACCTGCGACCTTCTTGCTGTGAGGCGACAGCACTACCTACTGCGCCACTGCGTCGCCATGCAATACATCATTATCAATAAAATTAATTCAAATCAGTGGTTACATATTTGATTTTGTTCAAGCCAAATTTTAATAACAGTTTTAAAATGATTAAATGTGGTACTCTCTCTGATATGCACTGGCATTTTATTTCATCTTTCTGCTGCTCTGACTGAAAAAACTGATTGTCCATTAGCAGTTCTCTTAAGTTTAACTGAACAATCACCTCTAACGCCCCATTCACAGGGGGCATCAGCATTAACGATGACATGTGAACAACTCACAAAGCATGATTGGTCGCATTAACCCCTTATCTCTTAATGTCATCACATATATTTTAAAGTTATTCATACATTACAACACCGTTATGCCAGCAGTCAATCACCTAAATTAGTATAATAATAATAGTAAAATTAACACACACATTCAGTTACAATGAAAACAGTATGTTTTTTTCTGCAGTAGTCTAAATAAATCTTTGCTTTGACATCAGCTGCATTTACAAATACAGCCCATGAATAGCTCAGTGGTACTCAGTGGTGTAAGAGCGGTGGGAATGAGCTGCTCGCAATGTACCTGAAGAGCGGTGGGGGTGAGTTGTGTGCGATATACCTGAAGAGCGGTGGGGGTGAGTTGTGCGCGATGTACCTGAAGAGCGGTGGGGGTGAGTTGTGCGCGATGTACCTGAAGAGCGGTGGGGGTGAGTTGCACGCGATGTACCTGAAGAGCGGTGGGGGTGAGTTGCACGCGATGTACCTGAAGAGCGGTGGGGGTGAGTTGCACGCGATGTACCTGAAGAGCGGTGGGGATGAGTTGTGCGCGATGTACCTGAAGAGCGGTGGGGATGACTTGCGCGCGACTTACCTGAATAGCGGTGGGGGTGAGTTGCGCGTGACGTACCTGAAGAGGTTTGGGGGTAAGTTGCGCGCGACGTACCTGAAGAGGGGTGGGGGTGAGTTGCGCGTGACGTACCTGAAGAACGGTGGGGATGAGTTGCGCGTGACGTACCTGAAGAACGGTGGGGATGAGTTGCGCGTGACGTACCTGAAGAGCGGTGGGGATGAGTTGCGCGCGACGTACCTGAAGAGCGGTGGGGATGAGTTGCGCGCGACGTACCTGAAGAGCGGTGGGGATGAGTTGCGCGTGACGTACCTGAAGAGCGGTGGGGATGAGTTGCGCGTGACGTACCTGAAGAGCGGTGGGGATGAGTTGCGCGCGACGTACCTGAAGAGCGGTGGGGGTGAGTTGCGCGCGACGTACCTGAAGAGTGGTGGGGGTGAGTTGCCAAGACGTACCTGAAGAGCGGTGGGGTTGAGTTGCCAAGACGTACCTAAAGAGCGGTGGGGGTGAGTTGCGCGCGACGTACCTGAAGAGGGGTGGGGGTGATTTGCGCGCGACGTACCTGAAGAGGGGTGGGGGTGAGTTGCGCGCGATGTACCTGAAGAGCGGTGGGGATGAGTTGCGCGGGACTTCCTGAAGAGCGGTGGGGGTGAGTTGAGCGCGACGTACCTAAAGAGCGGTTGGGTGAATTGAGCGCGAAGTACCTGAAGTGGGGTGGGGGTGAGTTGCGCGTGACGTACCTGAAGAGAGGTGGGAATAAGTTGCGCACGACGTACCTGAAGAGCGGTGGGAGTGAGTTGAGCGTGACGTACCTAAAGAGCGATTGGGTGAATTGAACGCGAAGTACCTGAAGAGGGGTGGGGGTGAGTTGCGTGTGACGTACCTGAAGAGCTGGAAGGGATGTGGTGGAGAGGGGTGTGCAACATATTTAAGGACCGAGCGGGAGACGCACAATTTCTAGGAGAATATCGTTTATTTGTGGGCATCCGGGAGCCTCTATGCATTTGCGGGATACTCTCGCAACTTCCGGGAGACTTGGGATGTCTGTTTTAACAGCATAATACTCACTACTCTTGAGTACATTTGAAAGGTCTACTTTTTACTCATACATTAAGTAATATTTACAACCAATACTTTTTAGTCACATTTTTTAGACCCGTAATGGTACTTTTACACGAGTATAATTTTTCAGAACTCTTTCCACCACTGCTAATAATAAACTATTCTAATAAAGAAATTATTTAAAACAGCTTATTTTTACATTGCAAGATGCTTCAAAACTGTATTAAAAACACAGTTTACTTCCAAAACAGCGTTAACTCATTTATGTGAGTCTGTTAATGAAAAATCATAAACATGATCTTGTTTAACTGCATTTTGCAACTTCAAGAGGATGTTTTTAACTCTAGTCAGCACAATAAACCAAGAAAGATCCTGACTTCTGCCAAAAAAAAAAGGCAAACATGTTTTTTTTTTTTTTTGTCATTTTCTTTCAAACTATTGTAAAAATTTTTACAGGAAAAAAAAAACTATTTGTTTTACAATTATTGGTTTGTTTTATTTTACATTAAAAAAACGTAATAATAAAATAAAGTGTTTGTTAATTCTACAAAAAATACAGATAATGCCGAGTTTAGAAAGCATGATTTTCAAAGTAGTCATGTCTCAGATGTTTTCATACTGCATAACTATCTGAGGTTGCGTTTTGCTTTGTTTACACTGCAAGATGGATCGGCAACAGGGGCTTTCACATTGCATGACTTTACAATAGGAAGAATTGCCGACAACTTCATCCAAACTACGTCTCACAGCCCAAATCATGTAGTATATATTTTGTTATTAACTACATAACGAGAAAGAAGCCTTTAATGGGGTAGAAAGTGTACATGTTTGCTCACCTGGGTTTGATGGAAATTTGCAGTTTCTCCTCAACTTTCTTTTTTAACTTTCTGTATGAAATGTCACACAGACACAGTGCTCGTGTCAAACCACTAGGGGTGTCACGATTTTGATTTTTAATCGAAATCGATCAAAATTTATGCTCAATTTCGATTATCGAATCAAAAAATAGAATCGTTGATGCTGCCACGCCCCCATGTCACGTCAGCTTGGCTTGCCAAGCGGGAAAAAAAACAGGCTTGTTGAAGTGCTTGTTAAACTGCAGAAGCAGGAGAGCCGTCGACAGAACTTAAACCCTCTCCTCTTTCAATGAAGTCGCCGGTGTGTAAGCATTTTGGATTTCCAGTGAGTTATGTTGACAACGTTCGTATTGTCGACAAAAAAAACACACAGTTTTACAAGCACTGCTATGTACGTAATACGTACGGTTCGTCCGATAGACAACACCGGATCGCGATCCTCCGCCCGCCCCTGTTGCAAATCCGCTCGCGAAAAAGTACACACTCAGGCCCTGTTTACACTGTCTTTGTTTTTAAATGGCATTTTAGAACGACAACAATTTGACATCCACAGTGGCGTGTAGCATTTCTGAGCAGCCCTCCTTCCTCACTACCTCTGAAAATGCACATCACGTGACCACACAGACACAGACGCACACACAGCCATGCTCCAATCTTTCACTCACTTGTACTTAGTCATTTTAGTGAACACCTCAGATACTGTTGACTGGCTCCTGTTGGTTGTGCGTCTTTTTACCGACGCCATTATAACGACACAGATCACTGCCTATTCCTACTGCCGAGTCCCGCAGAAAAAGTGATTGACAGGTGGTAATTATGTGTGTATCTTGCCTTAATTCATTTACTGTATGATTTGTTTATGGGTAAAACAAAGACCATCCAGGTCAAGTAGTTTAAACTGTAGGCTACAAATAATTAATTGGTCATTAATTATTCATAATCGAAAATCGAATCGAATCGAATCGTGCCTTTAGAATCGAAAATGTAATCGAATCGAGGATTTGGAGGATCGTGACACCCTTACAAACCTCCACTAGTTTTTCTTCCATTTCTTGGGTCTAAATAAACCGAAAATGAGTGCTTTTAACCCCTCAACCTCCTGCTGTAGGCGATCGCCGATGTCATTTTCAATCAGAATTAATTTTACACGGCATGATTTGAATCGCCGACAGCTCCAGATATTCAGCACGCCAAATATCTCAAAGGCATCGGCGACTCATCGGGGATTCTCTCAGATCGCATCTTTGATAGTTCACACTGTTTGATTGTCCTTCACATGCACGAGCACCGATTTGCCTGTGATTTCAAACATTTGAACTCGGTATAAGAGAACTGTTAAAGTACCGAACTGATAAGTTGTATTGAACCTTAACGGTAACCATCCCTATCTGTGGCTACCGACGTACCATCCATATGAATGCTGGTGGTGGTGTGGTGAGACCACATTCATTATTGTGAGGCTTTAGGTGTATGTATATTGTATACACAATTAGTGCATTATATAAATACTATATAATTAATGATCTTTAATATAAAGCATGTAAGAATCAGCTCTTTGGTTTAAATCATGTTTAAACTTAGGGGATTCGAATCAAAGATTCGAACATGATTCACATAGAATTATTTAAAGCTTACACTTAACTTTAGTATTTGTCCAGCAAATAAAACGTTTAGTGTAAAGCAATTCTGTATTATATTATTACGTGGCCAACAATAACAATATAAAAACAGTATCTAATTATTTAATGAGCAAGGTAGCAGTATCTGAAGCTGAGGCATTAACTTATAAAGCACACAACACACCAACACGGATCTTAAAACGAAACAAAAGTTTATTGCTACTCTACAACACAAAGTACTAATCTACGTAAAACAAACAAATGCACATACATACACACACGCACAAGCAGTTTGAGGAGAGTTTTGACTGAGTGGATTCAACTTCTAGCCTTTGCTAAGTTCTTAGCATTGTAACCTGAGAGAAACCGTAAAAGCAGAGAATTTCGCTATTCTTTACTACTTAAACATAATTCACACCAGTGTCAGCAATGGATAGAAACCTTGTTTGTGCTACTTGCGTTCTGATGGAATATTGGTTTCATCGACTGGTCCAAAGGGAAATCCCGGCGAAGCTGATTGGTCAGCGTAGCAACTTCAGTGACGTGATGGAATTCCCTTGTCGGTGAAGAGGGGTTTCCTTAGTCGGTTGCTAGGGATACGGATGTTGGACAAGGCGGCGTTCGAAGTCCTTCCTGGGTTCCTGTAGTTATGATGAGTTTCAGAGTTTGGATGTGTTGACCCGATGGCTTGTTGTTGAAGCGGTTGCACAAGCAGATCGGGGGTCGAGCCGGCAGAAAGTGAAGGTCGCGGTCTGCTCCGTGATGTAACGAGGCTTCCGGCGAGGCGATGTAACGGCCACAGCACGAGAAGAGCGACGTCCGGTCAGCGACGGCGGTGACGACTGGCAAAGATGACCGGCAAAAGACGACGATGAAATTCCTTTGTTCAAAGTTTTATAGGCTTTGGTAGAGGCTGGATCTACACAATGCTTGTCCAATCAGATAAGGTGCGGGGTGGAGTCACACCCCAATTCTGCCCTCTAGAAGGCCAGGTTGACAAATTGTGTCGGTGCTGCTTTGATAGCATAGTTGTTAAAATAAAGTCTCATAACATGGACACCTTTCATAATATGGTTTCTTCATATAAACCAATGCATTTGAAACTTTCCTAGCTTTCAATCAATACCAAACATGAAGTATGTCATAAACATTCTGTAGATTTCATTTGTCACTGAGGGCTATTACTCAAGAACTATCTATAACAGTTTTGTTAAACACATGGAACATGTACACACAAAAACCTACAGAAACATAAAGCAAACATACATTACTCAAATAAACACAGTTTTACTGTATGTCCATTAAACTTTGGAAGCGTTTCTGATCGCTTCTGTGTCTGCCTGAGAATGTGTATTCCTTGCAGACGCCAAAGGACAAGCGAACCAAAAGGTACTTCTCAAAAACCGGTTTGGTGGGTTTTTGATTGTAGAGCCTCTTATTGTTTTAGGGTGTAAAGTTAATTAACATGCAACTGTGATGTTGACTGGCTAGGTATCCTGTGGATTTGCCTTTTGCTGGGTGCCTGTGGATTGCTTTGAAAATGAAATCAATCTCAGACTCGTAGGCACCAACCAATCTTTTAAGGATAACATGGTCTGTGGCTTGTTCGGTTCTGGAATGATCCGTTGACTCCCCACAAGCAATTGGCCTTAATTATTCAGATTTTTACTTTGATGAATTTTAGCTGCATTTGTGTGGTTTTGGGTTCACTGTCTTTTTAACAATAAACTTTTTTTTCCACATTTGACTTGCGCTGTTAACTTTTAAACATGTAATATATCAATTAATGCAATATAATTCAAGTCAAATCTAATTGGTGCCTGTCTTTTATGCAAAAGACGAGAGCCTCCTGAGTCATGTTATGATGCTATAAAAATGCTAGGATTCTGGAGACTCACAGTTCTGAACAAACACACAGATTAGTCCTTACATTTCAAATAAAGAAACAATGTATCACAGCAGGTATTTAACTCTTTTAATGAGTGTTTTAATTTGTTGTATGTTGATGTAATGTTTCTTTTATGTACAAGTAATTAGCTGTTAATGTAGAAGTGTGTTCAGAAATGTCTCCAAAATTATTATACTGTGTAAATTGTTCACTGTTATACCTAATGCATGCACTGATATTACACATGTAACCTCATGGTTTTCTTTTATTTGTGACACTGTAGTTAATTGTCTATTTTTCTGAACTTTTTTCTTCAGGTCACTGATGGAAAACCTTGTTGCCTAAAGCAAAATGGAAAATTATACCAGTTTTAACTTCATGTTGTTTGAAAATCTTGGGTTCATAAGATATGCTCTCTTCATTTTGGGTTTTGTTCTGTACTTTGCTATAATACTCTTTAATGTCCTTATAATGCTTGCGGTGTTTCTGGAAAGGACATTACACCAGCCTATGTACATTCTGATTTCATGCTTGTCTATGAACTCTTTATTTGGTACAGCTGGATTTTTCCCAAGAGTTCTGTCAGACTTGCTGTCTGAAACACACTCAATCTCTCGTGAAGCATGCTTCTTCCAGTGTTTTGTCATTTTCACATATGCAGCAAATGAGTTCTCAATATTAATGTTAATGGCGTTTGACAGATTTGCTGCAATTTGTAAACCTTTACGTTACCACAGCATAGTTAGACCGAGGTTTCTTGCTTGTTTAATAGTTACAAACTTGACTATTCCAATGATTTTGCTTGCTGTTGGTTCACTTTTAACTACCAAACTGAGAATGTGTGGTAACAAACTAACTAAGGTATACTGCCATACATATGAAGTAGTCAAGCTTTCTTGTGACAACATCGCAATCAACAATGCTTTTGGCTTGTTTATATTAATAATAACTACCATCATTCCTTTAGGTTTAATATCATTTTCCTATGTAAAAATTCTTATCATTTGTCAGAGAAGCTCAGCACAGTTCAAAGGCAAAGCTTTTCAAACCTGTATTCCACACATAGTGGTACTTTTGAATTTCACAATGGCTGTAACATGTGATGTCACTTTGAGTCGGGTTGCAAATTTACAAATTCCTGTAGGTCTGTCAGTTTTCCTTTCACTTGAGTTTCTCATTATACCACCAATACTCAACCCTCTTATTTACGCCTTTAACCTGCCTGATATTCGCAAAAAAATGATCAGCCTTGTAAAACCATAGAGATAGTTATTTAGTTTGTTCGTTCTTTTTTTTTTTAGATGCAATATATATTGCACACTCTCATTAAAGTTGTCTTTCATAGTACATTGTCATATTACTGTACTTGTTTACTGTAACAAAACAGCATTCATAATAATTTGAAAACAAATCAGTTGTAAATTAAAGACAAAAATACTGTTATACTGTTTATTAGTACTTATTTGGTATGATCCTATATTATATCACTAATCCTACCCCAATAACTTAACCAAACTATTACATTACTATTAATAAACAGAAAATCTGTAGTTTATTGAGCTAAGTCTTAGTTAATGGCTTTTAAGTAGCGATAACTTTACCTTGAACTAAAGTGTGACAATGACTTTATATTATTATTAATAATATTATAGCTATTATTATTTTAAATCTCACAGAATAGTAGCTTTTTGTTTACAGATTGAATTTGCATCCCCTCGTTTAATCTGGCTGTTTGTTAAATCCAATTTACACACAACATTGTGAAACTGCCATTTCTCATATCTGTGACGCTAGTGTGTCCCGCTTAACTCTGAAAGGAAAGCAGATCATTTGTAAAAATAAAAATATGGCAATAAAAATTGTTTGCTGAATTTGCTTCTATGCTGATGGTTTTCAGCAGTTCATGTTTTGACAAGCAGTTTGATATACAGGCATAATTGTGTAAATTAAGATAAATTCAACCACGAAGGGTCTCTAAAAACCTTTTTGTGTAAGAAACTACTTTCTTCCACCATGGATTCACATCTGCAGCAAAAGCCACTGCAACAAAAAAAGGAAAATTCACTGATAATTCAAAAATGTCACTTTAGAGTATTTGAATTATTTAATTGCATCCTAAGAAATATTGTTTTTTCTTAGTGATGACAAAACAGAGGATCAAAATTACATTGCTGAATGGCATAAAAAATAAAAACATCCATTTGCACAGTTCTGCCTGTATTTTTCTGCTGCTATCAACTAATATTAAAGAGATTCATTCATTCAGTTTCTTTTCGGCTTAGCCCCTTTATTAATCTGGGGTTGCCACAGCGGAATGAACCACCACTTTATCCAGCATATGTTTTTACGCAGCGGATGCCCTTCCAGCTGAAACCCATCTCTAGGAAACAACCATACACTCTCATTCACACGCATACACTACTGACAATTTAGCTGACCCAATTCACCTGTACCGCATGTCTTTGGACTTGTGGGGGAAACCGGAGCACCCGAAGGAAACCCACGCAAACGCAGGGAGAACATGCAAACTCCACACAGAAATGGCAACTGACCCAGCGGAGGTTTGAACCAGTGACCTTCACATGTATAAACATAACAACAAGAGAAGACGTGCGCAAAGCAACCGGGAATAAAAGGTCTGTTCAGTTCACAAGGATCATCAATCATCATCAAATGTGATCAAGAGTGAGTTTCACATGTTTAAAATGTTTTAAAAGAGCGTCTGTGTGTAATGAAGTACAGCGATTTACCTCAGCTTTACTTCATTAGCACTGCTGTGTGTCAGAACAATTATGAAAGAAGACGCTTCAATCCCGGTTTGTTGACGTTAAATCAGGTAACATGACATCCACACAGCAGTGGAGATTAGCCTGTATCCTGTCACATTTGCGTGCAAAAAGAGTGCAAAGCTAAATGCGCACTGTCTGTGTGTATGTGCGTATCGTGTTCGTGCTGTGTATGTGTGTGTGTATCTGTGTGTGTGCACGTGAACTTTGTAACGACATTGTGTGTGACTTATCGTTGTAACTCAACACAGCAAATGCTTCAAATACTCATTGGTAAAGTCCTTGCTGTAGTATTTCTCAAAAAAGCTACGTGAGATCTCCTTCCTTTATGCCTATTTGTTGTCTGACGCAGCTGACGGAGGAGAATAAGGCATGCAGAAAGGCACGTAGAAACAGTGGGCGGGGAGGACAAGCCTTAAAGGCGCAGTACACCAAAACTGCCACCCAGAGCAAAAATACATATGATAGAATCTTGTAAAAGGTATAATAAAAAAATCTGATGGGTGTTTTAGGCTAAAACACATTCTGGAGACACAAAAGATTCATAATAAATCTGAAAAAAAAGTGACTTAGGTTTATTTGGCCTGTAATGTAGAGCACATTTGGTCCTTGATAGGAAACTGGGCATGCCAGGGGAAACCCACGCGGACACGGGGAGAACGTGCCAACTCCTGCGCAGAAACGGCAGATGTTCCAGCAAGGAGCCAGAGCCATTGGAATTCCTGCTGGTCACTGGGCCACCGTGCCAGCCGTTCTGGATAAAGGTGGAAGAAGTGGAGGAAGGGGGGAGGGGGGTGGGGGGTTGGTTTGTGACGAAGATAGTTGTAGAGAGAAAAAGAGGATGTATATATATATATATATATATATATATATATATATATATATATATATATATATATATATATATATAGGAACTTAGGATCCTTTGATTGGAGGATCGTGATTAGCTAATACGAGCCAGCTGGTTCAAATATAAGGGCGTACTCCTCTCGAAATTAGTTTAATATATTAAGCTTCACGTCATTTTTTTTCCTCTGATGCTGAGTATATTTATATATGCACCAAATAAATTTGATTCATCATCTTTTCCTACATCAGAGTTCGCTTCTTCCACATACTGTCTATCCAGCTGTCTTTTTTATTTCTACAGGCTCTAGCAATGTGTCAGATTTTGTTACACACATGACTCTTCTAATTCTTGAACCTGCAGTCTCTCACTGAATGTTTCCCAGCACATCTGTCACATTTACTTTCCTCTTGTCTCCGTTCCTTCTTTTGATATTTGGCTCTATCAAAATCATCTCTACCTTTAAACTTTGCGTTTTCTCTCCTATGGAAAGGTTTTGCTAACTTCCTTCACAGCATTTACTGACAAATCCTTTGTTTTTCTTGCAATTCCCTGCTGAAAATACCAGTTTAAACCAGCCTAGGCTGGTTGGCTGGTTTTAGCTGGTTGACCAGCCTGGTTTAAGAGGTGTTTTGGCCACTTCCAGGCTGGTTTCCAGCCATTTTCAGCCTGGTCTTAGTTGGTCAGGCTGGAAAATGACCAGCTAAAACCAGCTTGACCAGCCTGGTTTAAGCTGAACATAGCTGGTTTTGGCTGGGCTCCCAGCCTGGCTAGGCTGGTCGAGCTGGTTTTAGCTGGTCATCTGAAATGAATCAGCAATGGTGTGACATTTGCATACAGTTGATACATAAACGATGTCCTCGCACACAAACAAATGCACTTTACCAACATGGGGAGAGAAATTAATGTCTTTTGTTAGGAGATACGTTTATCAGTGGTGCAACAGGACACAAAACACTGATATTCAGAACAAAACTCATAACTTAGAAACTCTTGTGATCTCAGCTCACACAATGTTCTCCATCTGATGAAACTCTCTCTCGTTTAGGGTGTCCAGTCAGAATAAAAGTCCCACACAAAAATACCCCATCACACAATATTAATAAACATTCCTTACATTCATATGGTGCTTTTCTGGGCACTCAAAGTGCTTTACACATAGGGGGGGAATCTCCTCATCCAACACCAGAATCCACCTGGATGACGCGACGACAGCCATTTTGCGCCAGACCGCACACCACACACCACACACCAGCTGATTGGTGGTGACAGAGTGATGAAGCCAATTATGATATGGGGAGGGTTAGGAGGCCATGATGGACAGAGGGACATCACATGACATCCCATTTTTCTGAAATTTGGAACATAATTCAGGTCTGAACGGGTTAAACCCCTACTCTTTTCGAAGGACATCCTGGGATTTTTAATGACCACAGAGAGTCGGGACTTCAGTTTAACGTCTCATCCGAAAAACGGCGCTCACTGAGCAGTATAGAGTCCTGTCACTAAACTGGGGCATTAGGACCCACACAGACCGCAGGTTGGGTGCCCCCTGCTGGCCTCACTAACACCACTTTCAGGAGCAACCTAGCTTACCCTTGTGGTCTCCCATCTCACAATCTTCAATCTGCATTACTGGGTCCATGATCAAAAAGCTGCTAAAACTCACTTGGCTGAGTCTTCTTTGCGAGGGATAACTGTGCAGACAGGGGTAGTTCCAAACGCAAGAAGGTTGCTGGTTCGAGCCCTAGCTGGGTCAGTTGGAATTTCTGTGTGGAGTTTACACGTTCTCCCCGTGTTCACGAGAGTTTCCGCCGGGTGATCCGGTTTCCCCCACAAGTCCAAGGACAGGCGCTATAGATGAAATGGTTAAGTTAAATTATCCATAGTGTATGTGTGTGAAAGAGAGTGTATGGGTGTTTCCCAGTGATGGGTTGCGGCTGGAAGGGCATCCGCTATGTAAAAAAATATGCTGGATAAGTTGGCGATTCATTGTGCTGGGGCAACCCCTAATAAAGAAAGGGAGTAAGCCTTAAAGAAAATGAATGAATGACACAGATCATTCATTCATTCATTCATTTTCTTGTTGGCTTAGTCCCTTTATTAATCTGGGGTCGCCACAGCAGAATGAACCGCCAACTTATCCAGCATGTTTTTAGGCAGTGGATGCCCTTCCATCCGCAACCCATCTCTGGGAAAAATCCACACACACTCATTCACATATACACACAAACACACACTTACTCACTACGGACAATTTAGCCTACCCAATTCACCTGTACCACATGTCTTTGGACTGTGGGGGAAACCAGAGCACCAGGAGGAAACCTATGCGAATGCAGGGAGAACATGCAAACTCCACACAGAAACGCAGAGGCTCGAACCAGCGACCTTTGACACATATCAATTAACGTCATTACATCTCCACGCTATCCAAAGTTTTCTCCGGAGTTTTATGAAATTTCGGGTGACTAAAATAATCTCCGTAATTTTATATTACAAATTCTTCCTGCTCAGCTCTTGTCATTATAGAACCGTTGATAGTAAGTGGGCCTGCTGGTGGTTTAGTGGGGCTCAAGGCATTGTGACGTAACTGTAATCATCGCCAGCCATAATTCTACGTTTTTCAATATGAATTAACAGCAGAGCTACACCTTAGCTTGGCGGTTAGCACTGTCACCTCACAGCAAGAAAATTGTTGGTTACTGTACAGAGTTTATATGAACGGAGTTTTTATGTTCTCTGTAGATTTCCTCCAGATGCACCACTTTCCCCCTCAGTCCAAAGACAGGTAATATAGTTGAACTGGATAAACTAGATTGACGATAGAGGCCATGGTCTTTTGCCTCCTTGTTAGAACATCCGACTCCCATACGGACAGTTTCCAGCTTGATCCCACCCACGAGTAGGTTAGGTGGTGTAGGACTGGCAGGGTTACATTGGTGCCGTGACCCGGATTGGAGTGAGGTTTAGGGGGGTAAATGTAACTAAGGCCAGCTAGTGAAGTGCTGTGCAGATAAACCTCACTCCTCTGACTTCTAAAGGTCAGCGACAGACGATAGAGGCCATGGTCTTTAGCCTTCTTGTAAGAGCATCCGACTCCCATGCGGAAACTTGCCGGTTTGATCCCATCCGAGAGTAGGTTGGGTGGTGTAGGACTGGCAGGTTACATTGGCGCCGTGACCCGGATGGGAGTGAGGTTTAGGGGGGTGAGTGTAACTGAGGCCAGCAAATGAAGTTCTGTGCAGATAAACCTCACTCTGACTTCTAAAGGTCAGCAACAGACAATAGGGGCCATGGTCTTTAGCCTCCTTGTTAGAGCAACCGACTCCCTTGCGGAAGGTTGCTGGTTCGATCCCAGCTACAAATGGGTCGGGTGGTGTAGGAATGGCGGGATTACACTAGGTTGCGGCTGGAAGAGCATCCAACACATAAAACATATTCCAGAGTAAATGGTAATTCTTTCCATGTCCATAGGATAAGGAGTTACAGTGCTAATAAACAGCAATGTCACAGGTCATGTGATCTTATCAGATCAAACTTTCATTTATGCCCTCAGCTGTAAAGTTTTTAAATTTGGGGTAGATTTGTAATGTATGATGTGTTTGTGTGTATTATGTGTTATATTCTTGTATGCTGCAACCAAATTGCCTTGGGAGATGAATAAAGACTCTCCAAAACGTACTATTAATTTCTTTCAAAATACTGACAGAGAGAGGACTTGTAAGGTGCAACATGTAAGGTCATTTAATATGTAATATATTATAATTCAAGTTAAATCTAAGTGGTGCCTGTGTTTTTATGCAAAAGACCAGAGGCTCCTGAGGAATGTCATGACCCTATAAAAACTCTAGGATTCTGGAGACTCCCAGTTCTTCTAAACCCTTTTCCCTCACATATGGAAACAATGGTCATGCCATAATGAGTCACAAATGGTATTTAACTCCTTTAATGTGTTTTTAATTTGTGTAAGGTTGAAAATGAATGTTAAGTTGCCTGTTAATGTAATATTCAGTTTGTGAATAAGTCAACTAAAGTTATTGGGTGTAGAAATAAATTCAGAAATGTCTCCAAAATGATTATATGGTGGAAATTGTTCATTGATGTTAACAAATGTAACACTATTTTTATCAGTTATTTGTGACACTATAGTTAATTGTCTAATTTTCTAAACTTTCTTCTTCAGGTCACTGATGGAAAACCTTGGTGCTTAAAGCAAAATGGAAAACTATACCAGTTTTAACTTCATGTTGTTTGAAAATCTAGGGTACATAAGATATTCTCTCTTTGTTTTGGGTTTTGTTCTGTACTTTGCTATAATATTCTTTAATGTCCTTATTATGCTTGCGGTGTTTCTGGAAAGGACATTACACCAGCCTATGTACATTCTGATTTCATGCTTGTCTATGAACTCTCTATTTGGAACAGCTGGCTTTTTCCCAAGAGTTCTGTCAGACTTGCTGTCTGAAACACACTCAATCTCTCGTGAAGCATGCTTCTCCCAGTCTTTTGTCATCTTTACATATGTGGCAAATGAGTTCTCAATATTAATGTTAATGGCGTTTGACAGATTTGCTGCAATTTGTAAACCTTTACGTTACCACAGCATAGTTAGACCAAGGTTTCTTGCTTGTTTAATAGTTATAAATCTGAATTGTATAATGATTTTGCTATGTGTTGCTGCACTTTTAACTACCAAACTGAGAATGTGTGGTAACAAACTATTTAAGGTATACTGCCATAGCTATGAAGTACTCAAGCTTTCTTGTGACAACATTTTAATCAATAACGCTTTTGGCTTGTTATTAGTAATAATAACTACTATCATCCCTTTAGGTTTAATACTATTATCCTATGTAAAAATTCTTATCATTTGTCAGAGAAGCTCAGCACAGTTTAAAGGCAAAGCATATCAAACCTGTATTCCACACATAGTGATCCTTTTGAATTTCACAATTGCTGTAACATGTGACACCACTTTGAGTCGGGTTGTGAATTTACAAATTCCTGTAGGTCTGTCAGTTTTTCTTTCACTTGAGTTTCTCATTATACCACCTGTACTCAACCCCCTTATTTACGCCTTTAACCTGCCTGATATTCGCAAAAAAATGATCAGCCTTATAAAACCATTGAAATAGAATTTTTTGTTTTTCATTTTCTTTCAGATGCAATACATTTTACTCCTATTAAAGTTTTGTATTACATGTTACATTATGTCAAATTACTCTATCTGATATGATTTTGTAAATGCAAGAGTATAAGAACTCTGGTAACACTTTTACATTTAACTACTGGCTTATTACCTGCTTATTATCAAGACAGTAACTGTTGATTAGTACTATAATCTTATACTTCATTGCTAATCCTACCCAATAACTAAACCCAAATTCTACTATTACCTTACTGTTAATAAGCAGATAATGTATAGTTTATTGAGCTAAGTCATAGTTATCAGCTTGTTAAAACTGATAATTTTACCTTAAGATAAGTTGTGACAATTAACTTTATATTATTAATGTTACTATAATTATGTCAAGTCTCACAGAATAGTGGCTTCTGGTTTAGACACATCCGGATTGGAATTGTATCTCGTCATTTAATGTAGGTTATTGATATATTAAATATACACACAATATTGTGAATTTGACAGTTTATCTGTGATGTTAGTGTGTCTCCCTCAACTCTGAAAGAAAAGAGATTATTTGTATAAGCCCTTGCCAATAAAAATGCTTTCCTGAATTTGCTTTAATGCTGATGGTTTCAGCTTGTCATGTTTTGATAAGCAGTTTATGTTAATATATATATATATATATATATATATATATATATATATATATATATATATATATATATATATATATATATATATATATGTATTTTTTTTTTTAAGGGTGTAACGGTTCACAAAAATCATGGTTCGGTTCAATACAAAACAGTGCTGTCACGGTTCGGTACGTTTTTGATGCAGCAAAAAAAAAGAAAAAAGTGAGAGGATTTCTCTGATTTTATTTTTTTATTGTATTAAAACTATAAGTATGATCTTGTTTTTCTTTTTTTTTTTGTTTTCTTTTACTTTAAACAGTGATAGAGCTATACTTCTGGGGTTTCTGCTTAGCAGCAAATAAAACAAATCCTTCTTTATGCTCACAACCAAAAAGTTGCTTATAAAAAAATAAATGTAATATTGTAGTTAAACAAATAAAAAGAAAAGAACAATTTAGTTTGTATATGAAACTTAGTTTCAATCTATTTTTAAGTATTTTTTTTATTTTTCAGAAAGATGAGTGTCCACGTTTTCTTCAGACAGCACAGATCTGCTTGATTTAACTTTCACCTGCCATTTTAGTGGATCTGAAAGCAGGAATTATCTGACTGCAATGTGCTTATGAAAGAATAATGTAACGGGGCTCTATTACAGTTAACATTTTCTTAAAACCAAAAATTTCCACCACCGGTTAAGATCTCTCACACAGCTATAAATTTACAGATCGCCTCTGTGATTTGCTTTGCCCTGTTCGAATCTGTAGGAATTGCCTGTCTGAATGCTGTTCCAGTTCCAGTGATGTCAGTGTAAATTAGTTGATATGCTAAAATATTACCGCTAAAATAGTTTAATGTCATAGCAGATGTTGTTTTTTTCCACCACTCTTGGTGGCGGTGATGGTGCGCCACGTATCTGAGGAGCGGTGAAGGCGTGTGCGTGCGATGTACCTAAGCGGCAGGGGTGAGTTGTGCCCAGCGTACCTGAAGAGCTAGGAGAGATGCGTTGAAGAGGGGTGTGCGACATATTTAAGGACCGTGGGGAGATGCGCGATTTCCGGAAGAGGATTATTCGTTTGCGGGCGTCTGTGAGTCTCCCAAAACTTCTGGGAGACTTGGGATGTCTGGAATTGCATTAATGTTACTAGCCATTTTGCAAGCTAGTATAGCGCGTGCCTGACTGGAGTAATGTTTGGAGGTGGGCGGGTGTGATGATATGTGAACAGGTTATTGAGATTGGCTGTTTTGTGTCGGGTCCAGGGTTGCTGGAGCAATGAGGGCGGAGCCAGCACGAGCAGGCTGACACAGAAGGCATCAAGATTGCTAATGAACGCATGCTTTAATAAACTGATATTCTGAGTTCAAAAGTTAAAAATGGTGTTAATCTGAATCGAATCATTTTGAATCGGTTTGTAATGTGTACCGAACCGAAAGTCTCGTACTAAACGGTTCAATACGAATACGCGTATCGTTACACCCTTACTAATTAGTGACCGAGCACCTACGGTGCATAGGCCCTATTGGAATTGCTCCGTTTCTTCTTATTATTATTCTGTTCCAGAATGAATCGCGATTTTGAGGGTTCAAACATGCCTGAAAACTCACAAAACTTTGCACACACCCCAGAAGTGATGAAAATTTATGTTTGTTATAGGTTTCGGAAGTGGCAAAAGTCTGGCACAATAACTCAACAGCGCCACCAATAACAATTCAATGAAGTGCCCCACGAACTACATTTCACTCACACATACCAAAATTGGCACACACATCAAACATGTCAATGAATACTAAAAAGTCTCTTGGAGCAAAATCTGAAACCTAACAGGAAGTCAGATCATTTTAACTTCCTCTGCCGAAAAAGTAGCATTTTTGCCGTTTCCAGGTATAATCAAGGTACATATTGCAGGTTTACTTTAAAAAAACTCCTTCTGAGGATTTTATCCGATTAACACCAATATTGGGTTTTGTCATGTAAAGGCCTTGGATATGTTAAATTGCGAAGATCTAGAGTTTTCAACAAAGGGCATGTCCGTGGCGGCTTCGCAAACTTTGACAATCTGCCACGAAACAGGAAGTCGTTATAATTCAGGCATGCATTATGCGATCTGCCTCAAAATTCACACGTTTGATAACAGTCCTGACCTGAACATGTTTACATGCCAATATCCAGATATAGTTATAGCGCCACCTGCTGGCAACAGAAAATGACATGTTTTACAGTGTAACAAACTCCTCCCACAAATTTTTTCGTATGAACACCAAATTTGAGTGGTGTTATCTGAAAGCTCTAGCGATGATATATTGTGAAGATCTATAGTTTTTGCCAAAAGGTGTGTCTGTGGTGGCCTCGCAAACTTCGATTTGCCACGAAACAGGAAGTTGTTGTAACTTAAGCATGCATTGTCTGATCTGCCTTAAAAATCACTTGTTTGATAAGAGTCGTAACCTGAACATGTTTACATGCCAATATCCAGTTACAGTTATAGCACCACCTGCTGGCAACAGGCAATTACCTATAACTCAGACAAACAATGTCCAATCTGCCTGAAAATACACAGGTTAGATGAGATTCATCTCCTGAAGACATCTACATGCCAATATTAAGTCACAGTCATAGCGCCACCTGGTGACAGTAGGAAGTTTGGCTTATTACTCAGCCACACAATGTCTGACCAGCCTGAAACGTCACATGGTTGATTAAATTCCTCTCCTGGAGACATTTACATGCCAATCTTGAGGAGGAAGTTTGGCATAAATCTGTGATTTTTCTCAGGTTTTTTTTATATGTATTGGCTTAAATTAATATTGTTCGCTCTTCTCTGTCATCTTAGGGCCACCGGGTGGCAGTGAGCCCGGGTGCGAGGTCCCTTTCATCGCTGCTTGCAGTTTTAATTTGTATTTGTTATTGTACCCACATATGGTGAAACATTGTTTTTATGAACATAAAATTTGTTCTAACCTTTCTTCATTTGACAAAAAATGTAAACAATGCATGTTTAACTATGATCTTTAACATACAGCAATTTGTCTTAATTCTTCAAATTTTTACTTTTATTCATTTTAGCTGCATTCGTGTGTTTTTGGGTTCACTGTCTGTTTAAACAATTATTTTTATTCCTAAGAGGTTTGCACAAGAGATAACACACACAAGAGGTTAAGTTGTACAAACAATAAACTTAGATTTTTTCCCTCACATTTGACAAGCCCTGTGAACTTTAAAACATGTAAAATATCATGTAATGTCATATAATGCAAATCAAATCTTATTGGTGCCTGCGTCTTATGCAAAAGACGAGAACCTCCTGAGACATGTTATGATGCTATAAAATCTCTAGGATTCTGGAGACTCACAGTTCTGTACAAACACAGATTTTTCCTTGCAATAAAAAAAAAAACAATGTTCACGTATCACAGAAGGTATTTAACTCTTTTAATGTGTTTTAATTTGTGTAATGTTGAAAATAATGTATAAGTTGTCTGCTGATGTAATGTTTATGTTGTAAGTAATGCTTATTTTGTCATCAACTGTTATTTTATGTAGAAATGTGATAAGAAATGTCTCCAAAATGATTATATGGTGTAAATTGTTCACTGTTATATCTAATGCATTCACTGATGTAACAAATGTAACCTTATAGCTTTCTTTTATTTGTGACACTATAGTTAATTGCCTATTTTTCTAAATGTTCTTCTTCAGGTCATTGATGGAAAATGTTGTTGCCATAAGAAAATGGAAAACAATACCAATTTTAACTTCATGTGGTTTGAAAATCTAGGGTACATAAGATATGCTCTCTTCATTTTGGGATTTATTCTGTACTTTGTTATAATATTATTTAATGTCCTTATTATGCTTGCGGTGTTTCTGGAAAGGACATTACACCAGCCTATGTACATTCTGATTTCATGCTTGTCTATCAACTCTTTATTTGGTACAGCTGGCTTTTTCCCAAGAGTTCTGTCAGACTTGCTGTCTGAAACACACTCAATCTCTCGTGAAGCATGCATTTTCCAGTGTTTTGTCATTTTCACATATGCAGCAAATGAGTTCTCAATATTAATGTTAATGGCGTTTGACAGATATGTTGCAATTTGTAAACCTTTACATTACCACAGCATAGTTAGACCAAGGTTTCTTGCTTGTTTAATAGTTTTAAACCTAACTGTTCCAATGACTTTGATTGGTGTTGGTTCACTTTTAACTACTAATCTAAAAATGTGTGGTAACAAACTATTTAAAGTATACTGTCATACATATGAAGTAGTCAAGCTTTCTTGTGACAACATTGTAATCAATAATGCGTTTGGCTTGTTTACATTAATAACAACTTCTGTCATCCCAATAATTTCAATATTATTTTCCTATGTAAAAATTCTTATCATTTGTCAGAGAAGCTCAGCACAGTTTAAAGGCAAAGCTTTTCAAACCTGTATTCCACACATAGTGATCCTTTTGAATTTCACAATTGCTGTAACATGTGATATCACTTTGAGTCGGGTTGTGAACTTACAAATTCCTGTAGGTCTGTCAGTTTTTCTTTCACTTGAGTTTCTCATTATACCACCTGTACTCAACCCCCTTATTTACGCCTTTAACCTGCCTGATATTCGCAAAAAAATGATCAGCCTTATAAAACCAGTGAAATTTTGAAACCTTTTTTGTTTGTTTTTTAGGTGCAGTACATGTTGCACATTGTCATAAAAGTCATGTCTTTAATGGTACATTATGTCATATTACTGTATTTGATATGATATAGTAATTGCAAGAGTAAGAGGACTTATACATTTGTTTATTCATCTACTGGCTTATTTCATTAATATCATTGAGGCATTGACTGTCCATTAGTACTATAATTATACTAAATCGCTAATCCTATAATATAACTAAACCCAAACACTACTTTACTATGACCTTATTAATAAGCAGACAATTAGTAGTATTAGTTGAGTCTTGGTTATCGGCTTGTTACTAGTGATAATTTGACCTTGAAATAAAGTGTGACAATAACTTTATATTATTAATATATTACTGTTGTACTTTTAAATCTCACAGAATAGGGGCTTTTGGTTTAGAGAAATCTAGATTGAAATTGCATTCCATCGTTTAATGTAGCTCTTTGTTATATCAACTTAACACTCAATATTGTGAAACAGACAGTTTCTCATATCTGTAAGGTTAACATGTCTCCCTGTACTCTAACATGAAACTGATCATTTGTAAAAACCTTTGTCAATAAAAATGATTTGTTGACTTTGCTCCCAAGCAGTTTGTGTATACAGTTGAAGTCAGAATTATTCGCCCACTTTTAATTTTGTTTTTCTTTTTTAAATATTTCCCAAATGATGTTTAAAAGAGCAAGGAAATTTTCACAGAATGTCTGATAATATTTTTTCTTTTGGAGAAAGTCTTGTTTGTTTTATTTAGGCCAGAATAAATGCAGTTTTTAATTTTTTTTATAAACCATTAAAATTATTAGCCTCTTTAAGCTATTTTTTTCTAATAGTCTCCAGAACAAACCATCATCATACAATAACTTGCCTAATTACTCTAACCTGCCTAGTTAACCTATTTAACCTAGTTTCTTGAAAAATATCTAGTGAAATAATATTTACTGTCATCATGGGAAAGATAAAAGAAATCAGTTATTAGAGATGAGTTATTAAAACTATTATGGTTAGAAATGTGTTGAAAAAAATCTCTCGGTTAAATAGAAATTGGAGAAAAAAATAAACAGTGGAGCTAATAATACAGGAGGGCTAGTAATTCTGACTTCAACTTTTAACTAATATATATATACATGTATCAACACTGCGTACGCACAAAAACTTTGTGTAAGCCAGGTTTCACGCTCACGTTTGGATTTACCAACGATGAAATGAACGTGGGAATGTGCGCTGGTCCACGGCAACTTCATGCCCGGCGTATGTGCATTTCTTGAGTGTGTCTGTTTTATTTCCATTGGCGACACCTAGAGGTAGCTGTGTTAAGTTGCTCACTACAAAGTGTCTTTGAGTCATGTATTGGCAGCTGTATGAGATGGGTTCATCCGCATGTCTAGCAGGTATATAAGGTTTCCATACCATGCAGTTGATCAGCCAAACATTAAAGCGCAATTTGCAGCGGTCGCCGGTTTGACCAATTTAATCGGAGCGATCTACTGCACGCACATTGCTATAAAGCAGCCATCTGAAGACGCATATGCATACTTGAATCAGAAACATTTCCATTCAATAAATGTGCAAATAAAATATATTGCACCGACTTATTAATGATTCCTACTTGTCTTTCTCAAGATAAAGAGTGCGCAAAATCTGATATGTAGTGAGGGAAAAAAGAAGAATGAGTTCATCAGACGCTGGATTTGCATCGAGTTCATTCTCGAACATGTCACAACATGTTGCCATGAGTATTATGAGCTACGCCACTTACGCTGTTAAAGACACCACAAAATTTTATACCTTTCCATCACACTATTTCTTTTTTAATCCACTCAGTGCGATGTTCAGACCCCACTGCATTAACCGCATGAGCTAAACTCTCCCACTCTATTTTTTTCTTTTGTAATTAATTCCGGAGGACAAACTTGCAAATAACACCGCTTTTCTCCGGTCTACCTCCGAAAGCAGCACCTCCAATTCACATTCTGTTCAAAGTTTCTCTTCTTGCTTGCTTTTGCCATTGCTTTTTCGTTGGGTTCTTTGCCAAAGTAGAGTCATTAGCATACTCATACGGGGGAGGAGGCCGGGAGGGGTTCTGCGTTCGTGCACGTGCGCTCAGTTTCACGTTCATTCGGATGTACAAAGAGAATATGCTTGTGATTCGGCGTACGCAGTGTTTCATAAATCTGAATTTTTTACTGCGTACGCACAAAGCTGTAAATGTGCATACACAGTAAAAAATTCAGATGTATGAAACACTGCGTACGCCGAATCAAATGTTTTAGTATGATTTCAACACAAATCTTCGTACATGAAGCCCCAGGACATACATTACGAACAATTTAGCTTGCCCAATTCATCTATAGCTCATGTCTTCGGACTATGGGGGAAACCGAAGCACCCAGAGGAAACCCACGCCAACACTGGGAGAACATGCAAACTCCACACAGAAATGCCAAGTGACCCAGTTGAGGCTCAAACCAGCGACCTTCTTGCTGTGAGGCGACAGCACTACCTACTGCGCCACGAAATTTGAGAAAAAATAATTTCTGTAATGTTTTTGGATTAAGAAGTCTGTAAAAAAAAAAGAAGAATTATGAATACATTCCAGACACACTGTACACTTTATTTTTACTAATGCATTAATTACTTCCCAATGTTCAACATGGTTCAAAGTCCAGAATCTAAACATAACGAAATACATTGAATTTTTTATTTGGAATCTGATATTGCGAGTGTAAAATCCAAATTACATTACTCAGATACCAAAACCTGGTATATGTTCCCGCTCACTATACACCTGGGTCCTCTGGCAAAAATCAGTGCACATACACTAGAAACTGAAACATACATTTAGATCAGGCCCACTCCCTGTTAAAAAATGATGGCCTTATGTGGCCCAAATCTGGCACAGACACTATCAGACAAATCTTGCTGACATCTGGCTTGGTATTTGGGCCAGATATGTTGCAGGCCAGATATCCGTCTATCTGCCTGGCCTTAATCAGGCTGGCAACATACAATACAGAAAATGATGTGACTCAAACAATAATATCAATTTATATATAAACATTTATTGTAAATGCAGTAAGAAAAGAAAAGAAAAATCTTATACAGTATAAATCCAAACATAGGTTTACGTGCCGATTTTAATATACTAGCCAGTATACTAGCCTAAACAAAACTGTTACTTTAATGTCAGTATAATACAATCTAATGATTGTTTTAATCATTCTCCACAATGGCCATCAATTTGTGAACTAGTCTTTCTTCAGAACATCAGCCACTCCACCAACACACAAAATATTTGCTTAAATCACAAATGTCAGTTGTGATTTACTGTACTGTAGTTGCTAGATGTGTTTCCCAAATGATCATTTTGAGTTAATGCAAAATAAGTGAAAGGGGCCTCCTGAGACAAGTTAGATACTATAAAAATGCTAGTATGCATAGGTGTGAGTTCTTCGGTAACAGAAGTGCTACTGTAACTTCCTTCAGATTTTTTGATAATGCAGTGATGATTATTTTAACTGTCTGGATACAAGCATAATAATGCGATAATACTGCTTTAAGACAACAGGAATTTTTTAAATATGAACTAAAGCTTAAAAAGATCATATTTAAGCTGAAGTATTGATATTTAAGGTGTCTGCTCTCTTCCTCAGATCAAAGAAGCTATCATTTGCTTGTGTGAAAATGGATAATGGAACATACTTTTACTTCATGTTTTTTGAAAATCTCGGGTATATAAGATATGCTTTGTTCACTTCAGGACTGATTCTGTACTGTGTTATTATATTATTCAATGCTGTCATTATTATTACTATATTTTGGAACCGCACATTACACCAGCCTATGTACATTCTGATTTCCTGCTTGTCTGTTAACTCTGTGTATGGAACAGCTGGCTTTTTTCCAAGAGTTCTGATAGACTTGCTGTCTGATACACACTCAATCTCTCGTGAAGCATGCTTCTTACAATCTTTTGTCATTTATACATACATAACAAATGAGAATACAATCTTAATGCTAATGGCGCTTGACAGATTTGTTGCAATTAGTAAGCCTCTACAATACCACAACATAATTACAAAGAGGTTTCTGACTGTTTTATATCTTTCAAACTGGGCATATTCAGTGCTTTGTATCGGTATTGCTGCTATTTTTACTGCAGGGCTGAAATTGTGTGGCAACAAACTATGGAAAGTTTTCTGCCACAACTATGAAATTGCCAAGCTCTCTTGTGTAAATAGCCTTATTGTTAACATTATAGGCTTGTATGTGCTGGCAACAACTGTAATCATTCCTTTAAGTTTAATTATATATTCGTATGTGAAAATCCTAATCATTTGTCGAAGAAGTTCACCGCAGTTCAAGAAAAAATCTTTTCAAACGTGTGTTCCCCACATAGTGGTGCTTTTAAATTTCTCAGTTTCTGTCATATCTGAGATTACTTTGAGTCGAGTTGTCAATCTAAACATTTCTGTAGGGTTGTCAGTTTTTATATCACTGGAGTTTCTTTTAATACCACCCATCCTCAATCCACTTGTTTATGGGTTAAGTCTGTCAGATATTCGGAAGAAAAATATTTGCCTCAGAAAATTAACCAAGTAGATTACACAAACTAGTTTAGCTGTAAAAGAAAGTAAATGTGGTAACACTGTAGCTTTGGGAAAACAATCCAAGCATCATAATGTCATGCCTTTGATACTTTATATGAATTTCATAAGAATCAGAAATGTTAATGTTATTTATCGTTGTGGCATATTAAATTATTACGTTAACAGGCATATTAAAATAAACTGCATGATGCTGGAATGGCCAACAATCTGAAATATTGTTATGGCTTTTTAGTCTCTCTTCTTTGTCTGCTTTGGCACAGTCTAGATTGTAAAAAAGTGCTACAGATACAAGCATCAACTTAATTGAATGAATCAGTTACAATATAAAACATAATGTGTTCTCTAATTATTTTTCTATTTCAAAAATCCAAGACTACATTTAGGGTGTGTTTAAAAATAAAGGTTATAATTATGGTCTTTGTATTTGGCCTGGCACATATTTATCTGAACTTGAGACTGTTGACATATCTGCTAGATGTTTAAGGTTATTGAGTCAAAGCAAGAGGTCTTGCTTTTCGCATTGCCAAAAGTGTGGAATAGTGGGAGATGAGGATAGTTGTCTTTTTTCTTACTTTTCTTTATATGTCTTCAGTTTCAAAGAGGAGTGTAAAACTACAATTCACCCCATAGTCTATTATGATTTCAACCAGGTAAGATTTAACATTATATAATAAGATTTATGACCAAATAAATGCTGATTTTGAGATCTCATATTTCTATAAGGCAAGGACTGAGCTTGTCCCTCGGTTTCTAAATAAACTGTGTTCCATCTATATAGCTATTGACCTTATTCTAAAATGCGGAGGTTCGCCTTTTTTGCGATTGTTTTAAGACTTCCGACTCAGTCGCCTATAGGAGAAATAACTAGGAATAATAATTGGCAGAAAACAGTCAAACTATTTGCTCTACAAACAAATGTTTGCATGACTGTACAGACCAAGTAGAATAATAGAATAAGAAAATATCAGTTTGCAA